GATCAGAGGTCGTTCGGTCGTTTGAGTCAGCGCCGGCCGCCGGGCGATCGCGGCGACGTCCGATATCGACCGGCGGCACACCTTTTGTGCCTCCCAACTGGGTCAGACGGCCTTCACGGAAGGCGTCGGCGCCGATGAGTGGTCGACGCGAGGCGTCCGGGTTCCGTGGCCCGGCTGGGCCAGGGCGACCCGCTGTCTGATCCAGCGCAGGCGGCCAGAATGGAGCACACTGCCAGGGGTAGGTGCGGTCCCGACGGCTGCTTTGGCGAGGTTTTGAAGCATTCGGGCACCGTTTTGCGCCAGTGGATGGTCAAAGCCGTGGTTGTAGTGGCTAAATGTCATGGCGGTGAAAATATCCTGTGACACTTTGTGGGTCTTCTCAGTTTTCTGGATCGTCGTGGCATGCACGTGACGTTTCATAAGTAAGTGCTTGTGTAAATATAATCATGGTTCGCTCAGGGGGTAACAAGACATTACTGGCGACGGAATTCTTCCCGAATATACTCCGCGGCTTTCACATATGTTACGCACTGGTCGAGGTCCCATCCGCTGTGTCCCGGAATAAGCTTTAAGGATCCATAAATTCATTTACGGACGAATAAAGTTTGAGTGTGTAATCATCGACAGGAATTAGCACCACAGCTTACAGATGTGCATACCGGCATTCGCCTGTCAGCTCTCGCATTCATGGCATTCGTTTAAATATACATGGAGCGCCGACTGGTGCGATCGCGCCGACGCGAGCCGTTCCAATGTTTGCGGATGGGCGGTTCTGGCTGTGTGCCAGCGCCAGTCAACCATTCAGGTTAAATGGCTGTCGGATGCCGTGCTCCAGTGGTTCCGCCCAGCCACAGCTCACCCCACGCCTCGCTCAGCCCCGGCTAGCCATGCTGAGAGCGACCGCAGGATCTGCTCAAAGCTGACAGCGGCGCATCAGCCGGTCACGCAGGCGGCGGCGGCCGGCTCGCGCGGGCCCGAGAGCATGTGCGCGCCCACAGATGGCGCCGGCGATAGCGTGGTGTGCGGGCCGCGGTAGGGGGCGAGCGATTCGCGTTGCCCGCGCGGCACAAATGCGGGCAACGCTTACTGGGTTCATATCTCGCTCCTGGTAACCGAGGCGGGGGCGACTGCTGTCAGGACCCCTCAGCTGCATGCGTCCGTAAATCATGGAACGAGCGTGATGGGTAACCGGGGCGAACGCTTCGGCGCGGCGCCGAGGCAGACCCATGGCTCGTCGCAGTAGCCGGGGCAAACCGGAGCGGTTCGGCGGTGACGGCGGGGCGCCTCCTCCCCGGCCGCCCCCGCGCGGGCGTCGGCGGCGGTGGCGCCACCTGGATCGGCGCCCGCCGCCAGTGCCGGCCGCGGCGGCGGGCGCGACGGTGCGCCGGCGGCGGCGCGCTCCCGATGGGGCTGCATCGCCTCAAGAACCGACTCCGCATCCAGGTGGCGACGACGGTGCGTGTCGGCGGTCTGGGCGCGGACGCGGGCGTCTCGCGCGTGAGGCCGCCGTTTTCCCGTCGGCGGGGCCGCGCGGCGCGGCGGCGGCCGCGAGGCTTCGCAGGGAACGGTCGCGCTGCGGCTTGTGAAGTGGTAACTGGTGCCGCCGCTGCGGGCCGGCTGGTCTCGCGTGACGCACGGGAGTGCTGTATTCCCGCTGTTTCACACCGGCAACGCGTAGGTGTTGTGCACTAATTTACAGTTCCGTTAGGCAGACGAGTCTTTTCCTCAGCCCTGGAAGCCCATGGGCGGCCTGCACGAGCCCTTCCCACGAGAAAATTATCACAGGAAGCCCTGTTGTGTTCTCTCTCCAGCGCGCTAGTTCAGCGCGCCCGGGCCGCGGTGCTGCTGCACTTGGAGCACTTCCTTGTGGCGTCCGCGTAACCCCGTCCATACATCAAAGGCCTAAGGCCGACAACGCTTACGTCACCCTATTTAGCGCATTGCTCATAGGATGGTATTGTGACTGCCGCTGGCTGCTGCCGTCCGAACGACGGTCGCGGCGGTGTTCTGGACGCTCTGCTCATGGGATGGTATTGTGACTGCCGTTGGCTGCTGCCGTCCGAACGACGGCCGCGGCGGTGTTCTGGACGCTCTGCGGACGGGCAGTTAGCGCGCACTGGTGGCGCGCGCTCCGTCGCCGCCGCCGGACGTCCGCCGTGTGCCAACGGCGCCGCCCCCGGCGTCGGCCACGCCGGGCTCGCCAGCGGGACAGTGGCGTCGTGTCCGGCGGAACTGGCGTTGTCGCCGCTCGGACCCACCGGCTCTGAGGGTAGCGGCCGGCTGTGTGTGTGTGGCGAGGGGGGTGGGAGGCGCTGGCGGGATGACTCTGCCAGGCGTCTCCTGATGAGACCGGCGTTGTTACCTGGTGTGGGAGGCGTGGTCATATGGGGTGTGTCAGGCGAAGTCTGCTGCTGTGTCAGATGTGGTGTCCTTGTGACGCGGTTCCCTCGGTGTGTAAGGCGTGATGTCTGGCGTGTCAGGTGTGGTTCCAGTGTGTCAGGCATCGTGCCGGGTGTGTCAGGCGCGATGTCTGGTGTGTCAAGCGTGATGTCTGGTGTGTCAGGCGTGGTGTCCGGTGTGGCGGGCGTAGTCAGTCGCTCACGTGGTAGGCACACTCCGCTGATGTGTTCGGCCCGGTCGCGTGCCGCATCAGACCTGGTGTTTTGTGAGGCCGGCACGATCCTCGCCGCGCAAGCGAACTCTGTGGCGGAACCGGAACTGGGAGGGAGACGGCTGAGCGGGCCGGCTCGGACGGCGGTGTGCCCCGACGGCTCGCCGCTCCGCCGGTACCCGGCCGGCTCGGACGGCGGTGTGCCCTGACGACTCGCCGCTCCGCCGGCAGCCGGCCGGCTCGGTCGGCGGTGTGCCCCGACGGCTCGCCGCTCCGCCGGCACCCGGCCGGCTATCGCCGCCCGGCCGGGCCGACCGCCGGCCTTTCACCGGCCGGCGCCGCCCTGTTTTTGTTGTGGCGGCCGCTGCTTGCGAAAGCGATCGTCGCAGTGAGCAGCGGTGGCTTCCTGGGCAGCGGCCGCCCACAGTGCGCTCGTCAGCAGCCGTATAAGGCGGCGGCGGCGCCGTCAGGCCGGGCGCCGCCGCCAGTCGCCCGCTCCGTCGACACCTGCCGCGACGCGCTCCTGTGTCGGCCGGCGGGGCGTCACTGGATCACTCGCCAGGGCGGGCGCCGCGCCGGACGCGGCATCGAGACGCGTGAGGTTGATTGTCGAGGCGGCGGGTGGTGGTGGCGTCTGACCGTGGCGGTGATTGACTGGCTTTGGGCCGGCTGTCGCTTACATCAATGCTGAGGATGAAATATGAAATCGAGTCCAGGAGAGGAAACAAATTGATGCACCTGGTCATCTCTCGTTCACGCCGTCTCGGCGCCGACTTCGCTGAATCTGCGGAGCTCAGCGAAGTCCGTGGGCGCCGGGCGTGCCCTCGAAGCAGTCAAACCTCGCTGTTTGTTTACACGTTTGCCGTGTGTAAACAAACGCCTGCCGACCGTTGCCGAAGACGACCAGGCGCGGCTCCCGTCAGCTCCAGCGGCGTCCGGGCGCGCCGTGCGGCCGTGCGACCGTGCGCGGCCCTGGTCCTGGCGCAGGGCGTCCTCACGCCGACCCTGTCCGCCAGCGGCGGCTGTGCCGTCGCCTACGCCAGTCCTTCGCGACCACATCCGACTCTGCCGGTCGTGCCGCTGCGTGTCCTGCACCGCGACCGGCGCCGGCTCGCCGATGATATACACTGCGCTTGCCGGCCGGCGACAGCAGCGCGTTTTTGTGTGGTTTGGGAAGGTGTTGTCTGACGTTGCGAACCTGCGCTCTAGCTTGTGGCTGGAGCCGTCCGCATTGTCGCGCTGCGGGCTATGAGTTGATTACGTGCCGCTGATAACATGGGAAGATAGCCTGGTGCGCCGATGCGGGCACAGTGTGCTGTATTGCTTGTGGGATGTTAAAATACGGCAGACATGGGCTTAGCCTGTTTGTGGGCTGCTGCGTTTCTCTTCAGCTGTTAAAGCGTCCGAATGTACAAAAGGCAGGGCAGAGGCCGTGGCGAGCGTGGTTGGCGGTTGCGAGCGGCGGGTCGCCGTGCCGTCTGTCGGCGGAAGCCGAGGAGCATCCATCACCATGGGGCCGGGCGGCGGCGCCAGACGGACCGCGCGACCGTCCGACGGCGTTATGCGCCATCAGGCAGCCGGCTAATGACGGCGTCGGACGTCGATCGGCGCCATGTGTCGGCCGCGTGATGGACAGCCGGCCGGCGGCCGTCGCACCGGCGTCGCCGGAGGCCCGGCCGCCGGTGACGCGGCCGGCGCCGCTTCCGTCGCGGCGGCGCGCCTCTCAGACGGCTTCGGCGGCGGCGCCGCGTGTCGTCAGCCGCGGCGCCGGCGCGCTGTTGATGCTGCGGTCGGCCGTTACCGGGCCGGCGCTGTCGTCCGGGGCGGCACCGGCGCCGTTTCACGCTCGGGCGCCGTCGGATGTTTGGGGTCGGCGCGCGTTGGTCTGCGGCGACGAAGGGCACGTCTGGTCGCGGCGGCTGGCAGCTAGTGCGGATGGGACTGCGGACAGTGGGGGAACACGCACCGTTAGAATGACTGCCCCACTGGGTCAGCGTTGGTCCGTAGGCGGGCCGTGCTCTTATGTGGACCCTTCGCTTTCGTGATGTGTCGGCAAGGATTGTTCCGGGTCGGTTCCACATATAGTTCATGTGGGGCATTGCTTGAGTGTAGCCATGGTGCAGGTATTATGGATTACAAATCAGAATGTGATGAACAATCTAACTTGAAAGGTTATGTTAGTGGAAAATATGTCCATGTCCCTCGACAAAGCTCAGCTGTCTCCAACGCCGTGACAGCCTACAGCGTCACCTTCATAATTTCGACTAAATTGTTGAGCGTGTACCCGTGTATATTATGCGTGACTATATATATAGCGCATGCCCGCTTGTTGGGCGTCGCCCTGTGTGCCCAGCGCCGCCTGACATGCCGCTGCCTCGCCGCCATGCAGGGAAACGGCCACGTGGAGAGTCCCGCCGGCAGCCTGGTGGTGATCCACATGAAGCCCGACGACGAGGGGCGCTACGGCTTCAACGTCAAGGGCGGCGCCGAGTCCAGCACGCCCGTCACCGTCTCCAAGGTGGCGCCCCAGTCGCCGGCCGACCGCACCATGCCCCGCCTCAGCGAGGGCGACCAGGTCAGGTCATGGTCAGGCCAGATCAGGTCAGGTCACCGCTCGTGGAGTAGGGTGAGAGTCGGGAGCCGGGCTCCGCGACCGCAGCTTCAGACCGGGGAGCGGAGCCGGGGCGGAGCCGGGGCGGAGCCGAGTGAGGGCCGCCGACAACGCCAGGAGGGCGGCTGGGAGGCGGGTGGGGGTCGCCCGCCTGCCAGGTGCCGAGAGGAGCAGCGTAACGTCGAGAACGGCTGAGGGACTGAAAGCTGAACGGCTCTCGGCGTGTGAGCTCTGGGCCGTCACTGTAGCCGAATGGAGACGTTTTGAAGGCGCGGAACGGGTCGGCGGTCCGCCGAGCAGGTACTGTAGCCTGATGCGCCTTAGGATTGCGGAGTCTGGTGGGCGGCACCTAGATCCCCGTTATCGCCGCGCTTCCCCGGCGCCCACGGGTAGGCAGTCCGGCTGTATCACGCGCGCAGCACGACCACCGCCCGCCGCCTGTGTCGCTCCGAGTACGTTGGCGGGCGGCTGTAGGCTCCGCCGATGGAATGCCGGCTCAGCCCGGCGGCCGGCGCGTGGAGGCTCAGCCCCGGCCCGCCGGCGGCGCGGGGTCACCGGGCGGACCTGGGCTCGGAGCACCGCCGTCCCGTATCGGCCGGCGAGTGGAGGCTCAGCCCCGGCCCGCCGGCAGCGCGGGGTCACCGGGCGGACTGGGCTCGGAGCACCGCCGTCCCGTATCGGCCGGCGAGTACGTCAGTGGCGCAGTCTGCGCGGCTATGGCGTGCTTTGTTGCATGTAATACTACTACAAGCTCGTTTGGCCACACAATGTCGGAACATTCCTGGAAGGTGTCGTAGTTTGTGGCCGTAAGTAGTTGGTGTTGGTGGTTGGATGTGGTTCCGGGTGTCGCGCGCCTGCTCATCGATGACGCGACGACGCGCATCGGTTAAGCGTTTGTACCCCTGGTCCCGCGCCGCGTGCTGGAGCGTCGCAGGTGCGTGCTGTCTGCGCCATTCCTAGCGGCGGGCGGAAGCCTTCAAAGAACTCGACTGACGCGCTCTCCGACGTAGGACGGTGTCGCAAGGCCGCGCCACACCGACGGTGAATCACGCCTGACATCTGTACCGGCGCCGATCTGGCCGATCACCTGCGATCGCTTTCGCCTCGCGTGAGGCGCGATAAGCGGCCGTTTTCGCGCGCTCTTTATCGGCTGATCGCGTGCGCTTCCGCTGCGCCTTTCTCGCCAATCAACAGCGTCGCCAGCGCCGCCATTAGCGCTAACGATCGCCGGCCGAACATCCGGAGTCGGACCGGACCTGACGCGGCCGGCTCCCGCGGCGCGCCGGGCGACGGCGGCGGCGGCGGCACATGTGCCAGAGGCGCCCGCCGAGCTGATGTGACCCCGCGGACCCGCGTTGACCCCTGGCCGGCCGTCGGGCTGCCAGCGGGGAGCCGGGGGGGGGGGGGGGGGGACACGTTGCCATTTGTGTGCCCTCATATGGGGATTAGGTGATGTGTTGCTTTTAGAATCAGAGATAGTGACTCATGTCCCCGAGTAGATAGCCCTTGATCCTCATTGGTTTTGACGTGCGTGCACTTGACTGTAAAGATCATGGTGCGTCCTCCAATGGATCAAAATTTTGGAGTTTAATAGAGCCTGTCGTCTCCAAATGGCGGCCTAGCGGTCCGGATCGAAATTTGGTAGTTGTGCTACAGCATTGTACGGCGGGTGCCGCCCTGGTGGCGGCCTAAACGCTTTCTGCCGGCGCCGGATGCGCCTCGGCCGCCCGCCACAGCCTGCGCCGCCGGCGTCGGCGCCGGCGCCTGCCAGCTCGGCGTCGGGGAGCTGGTCCGTCCGTTCGCCATCTGTGTGGGCCTCGGCCGAGGACGGTGCTCGGTCCCGGCGGACGGACGCGCCGCGCTGGCTTCTCGTGCCTGTCGGGAGACGCGGCCGCCACCGGCCGCGTCGGGGCGCGCCGGCTGATTGGCCGCGCCCGCAGCAGCGCTGCTGACGCGCAGGCACACGGCTCTGTGACTCAGCCGGCGCGCCGCGCACCTGGAGCCGGTCAGGTGTTCGTCGTGGCCGACTGACCTGTTTACGGCGCCCGCCCGTACCCCCTCCCTACCCCGTCCCCACCCCCGCCCCCACCCCTCCCCCCGCCCCACAGCTGGTACTCAGGACGGGGCGGATGACAAGGTCGTTGCGCGGATATGGATCGGGCCGGTGAGCATCGCGCGGGGACGGTGAACTGCTCGTCGCCCTGCGCTCGTCGGCGCGGGGACACGCGCCACCGCGCTGACGTCATGGAATTGAAGGTCGACGACAGATGTGTGGGCGGCAGATTGCTATGTGCGCGCAGTCCATAGGCGGCCAATCAGTCGGGCTGTTTCGGTGGCACGTGAAGACCCGTCGATAAGCCTTCGGCTTGATGAGGGGAATCTCACCGCACCGGTTTCTAGCTCGGCACTGCGCTGGTGACGGCCCGCTGCGAGCGAACGGCGCAGATCGCCGGCGTGTGGCGCCGGTGGCAGGCGAACATCCATCCCCGTTGACGTGACGTCGGCCGCCGACGGACGCCACGGACGTCGCCAAGGCCGCTGCACGCTGCGGTCGTGTGCAGCTCTCAGCTGGCGGGCTCGGAGCGCGCCGAGTGGGCGCCCTTCAGGTGCAGATCGGTGGCGGCGGGTTCTGCGAGCGCCGGGCAAACACGGCTGACCCGGTTCCGCGGCGAGCGCGGAGGAAGGCACCCTGCCCGGCGCCCGTCACACACACCGGGCCATCTGCCCGCTGGTGGACGTGGTGCCGGCCCTCGCGTGTAACGCCCAGGTGGGCGGCGGAGCCGGGACGTTTGCCGCAGCGCCTGCGTGCGGGGGGACTAATTGGCGCGGGTTGATGCCTCGTTGACGATTGCAAGTCCATTCACTGCTGCGGGTAGACTCGTGCGACTTTTGACGGAGCTAGGTGGCTTGCTCGTGACGTGGCTTGCGAAGTCCATTCCTCACATGGCCGAGAGGCGACGTCAGGGATGACCCCTTCAGGTGGAGGAGGTGGCTGTGTCCGTATTGCCGTCAGGGGCGAGCTTGACCGTGTTAATCTGTTCGGCTCTCAGTGAGACACCCCAAACAAACGTCAGGCGTAGCGTTAGATTTGTTTGTCAGCTACTACACTGGAAAATGCAATCTTCATCAGATCTTTTTTGGTTGGCATTAATTTCGAATGGCGTCAGAGAAGCGTGAGCATGGCTGGTCCGCCGCTGATTGCGTGCTTTGGTTAGTGCTCTAGCAGTCACACACCTGCTGGGGCAATTCTGGTTACCCATCATTCAGTAGCTACCCTTCCATCTTCCAGCGGAAAGCGCACTGGCTGCTGAAAACTAGCTGGCCAGGACACAACAGAAAACTTGCACGCATGACTATGTCGTATCCAGGGAACAAACCCCCCGCCGGACACACCCGACGGGGCTTGAGCGGCGACCCCGGACGGTCCCGGGTCGCCGCGTCGACCGCCGTGTTCTGGCGTGCTTCAATCGGCGCACGTCGGCGGGGGGGGGGGGGGGGATCCGCGGTCTGCCCGTGAACGACAACTGATGGGTTCGCGTTAGATCACTCCCAGCGTTCCAGCAAGCGCGCCCGCTCTGCGGCGTCCGGGAATGCTCGAAAGGCCAGCGCTGCCGATCGCCAGGTCGATTGGAGCATTGGACGTCGAATTGCCGCTGCCGGCGTAACTGCGACAGGAGCTGCGCCGTCCGATGGAAGCATTTTTCACACTGTTCGAAACCTGTTGTGTGAAGTGTAGTGCACGTCAACACGTGGTTTGCACTTGAAGTGCGAGGTGTGATCCAAGAGTTAATGTATCTGCATAAGCTCTTATCTCATCCTGCGCAGTCGTGAGACGACTTCATGAGAGGCGTGCAAAGTGAGCGGTGTCTCCCCCTCCCCTCCCATAGACCCAGTCACTCCCACGTCTCGCCTGGAGTGTGGGGCTGACGTAGGCTCGGCCGCGCCGCCCGCCGGCTAGGGCGGGTCCCGCGCCGACGGGTGGAGTCCGCCCTGGGAGGCGACGGCCGGCCGGGGCGGGGCGGCGGCCGGCGCGGTGATGCGGGCCGGCGCCCGCTCGCCGCCGCTGAGGGGCCTGCAGCACTGGAGCGGCCGGCTGTCGAAAGCGCCGCTCTCGCCGTGTGTGGGACGGCGCGGTTTGGCTCCGAACTGTCGGCGTGTGCAGAGCGCGGCGGGCATCGGCGCCGTGCCAGTAGAAAGTGCCGCCTTATGTGCTGAACGAGTGGACTGTATAGTCAGTGCTCATCTGATAGTTCTGCATGCATCTGATACGTCCGCGGCCAAAGCGACGTCTGTCATGTCGATGTCAACCGTTAGAAGCCCATTTGTCTTCACGGATGAACCGGTCTCGACGCTGGTGTCTCGAGCTTGATTTTCTTTAGCCGTGGCGATGAGCCCTGGAGCTGGCCGAGCTGGCCACGGCCAGGCCGACCGTCGCCAGGCCGCGCCCGCCGCAGCCGTGGCCGTCCGTCTGACGGGGATTCCCCTTTCGTCCGACAGGTGGTGCTTATTAACGGCGTGGACGTGTCCAAGTTCAGCCATGACGAAGTGGTGAGCTTCATCCGGTCGTCGCGGGAGCTGCACAGCGAGCTGGTGCTCACCGTCCGGCCCAGCGGTGAGAATGTCCGCCTCTCACCTCTCCTCTCACCTCTGCCTCCCGGGACTAGGTGATCTCCCTGCCGATGGGAGAGCTATGGGAAGGGCGTGACAGGAAGCGTATCAGTCGGTCAGATGGCGTGTTGTGGTGCTGATAATAATAAATAGAAGATATGGTTTTCGCCACAAACGGGCCACGTCTGCGTAGGAGACGCGCGAATGATCCTGGACGTCGCCAGACCGCTTGGCTGAACGCCACTCGCCCCGAGTGTTACGCCTGTCACGCGATCCTGGACGTCGCCAGACCGCTTGGCTGAACGCCACTCGCCCCGAGTGTTACGCCTGTCACGCGATCCTGGACGTCGCCAGACCGCTTGGCTGAACGCCACTCGCCCCGAGTGTTACGCCTGTCACGCGATCCTGGACGCCGCCAGACCGCTTGGCTGAACGCCACTCATCCCGAGTGTTACGCCTGTCTCGCGATCCTGGACGCCGCCAGACCGCTTGGCTGAACGCCACTCGCCCCGAGTGTTACGCCTGTCTCGCGATCCTGGACGCCGTCAGACCGCTTGGCTGGACGCCACTCGCCCCGAGTGGTACGCCTGTCTCGCGATCCTGGACGCCGCCAGACCGCTTGGCTGAACGCCACTCGCCCCGAGTGTTACGCCTGTCTCGCCCGGCGAAGAGGACCCGCGCTGGCGGCCGTCGGCCAGCCTGTGCGGCGCCGGCGCTCCGCCCGTCTGACGCGCCGGTCGCTCCGCAGTGAACTACGAGGGCGGCGGCGAGGCGGAGGAGCCGCTGGTCCAGTACGTGCCCGACACGCCGTACGTCTCGCTGGCGCTGCCCGAGGGCGACGCGCTCGGGCAGTCCATGCTCATGCTGTCGGAAGGTGAGCGATTCCGCGGCCGCTGTATGGCGCGCGGCCGGAGGTAGGCGGCTTCGCCTGCTGTCTGGTGCCAGGATAACGCGTTACATCCCTGTCCGGGTCATAGCCCAGAGTCGTCACATGAGCCCATCACCTGAGCACGCCACGTCCATTTGTGTAACGTTGAGTATTGTTTGCTTCCTGTAGCCATCATTGCAATCTCAGCAAAAGCGTACGGAATTCGTCAACCCAATTTCTTGCTGTTCTGGCCTAGGTTTAAATCTGGAAGCCCGCATCCAGTAAGGTCACATTGCACGCTTTGATCCAGAAGGCATAACTTTATTGAGTACGCTGCCCTCGCGTGAGGTGTTGCTATTCGCTCGGACGACTGAAAGACTGAGCTCCGACCGCGATGGTTGACCGACGAGCGACGTGCAACACCCTCCTCTGACGGGGTCGATGGGGTCGGCTTCACGAAGTCCGAATTTACTGCATCCTTTGTACGAGCATCCGGCCGTGCACCTGTCGGCCTTTCCCGCCGGGGAGCCGAGTGTCCGTCGGCCGGCGTCTCTGAGTCACGGCGTGACCGCCGGCGAGCCGGCCTTACGCGGGCGGGTGACGACACACCTGATGGCGGCGGCGGCGCCGGAAGCGGCCGTGTCGACCCGACGCGGCGGTCGATGCCGCGCCGGAAGCGCCGCGGCGTGTCGGCGCCGCGCCGGCCGCGTCACCCACACGTCGGCCGGAGCGGAGAGGCGGGACCCAGCCGCGCTCGTCTGGGGCGGGCTGAGCGCCGGAGCCCGACTGTAGGCAGCCGTCCCCCGGCGGCGTGCTCCCCCGCGCCCCGCCGACCTGCGGCGCAGTGGAGAGTTATCGTCGACGGACGCGCGTGCGTGGGTGACGGCGGCGTGGGGCGAGGCGTCCGCGGGTGCGGCCCGGCTGGGAGCGTACGCCACGGGTGTCGGAGGTCCGTGGGCGGCCGCGGGGGGCGAGGCGTCCGCGGGTGCGGCCCGGCTGGGAGCGCACGCCACCGGTGTCGGAGGTCCGTGGGCGGCCGCGGGCGAACGAGCGCGCCCGAGGCCAGCTGACGCTTGGTCTGGCATGGCGTCGAACGTCCCTTCCCACGTGATATCTGACGCCGGGGCGGAAGTGGGCTATGCTGACCCCTGCCGGGAAGAGCACCGCGCTCTAATTGACCGCGCTGAGCCCGGCGGCGGCGCGGAGGCGTGGGACCCCTGGCCAGCCAGCGGCGCCGCCAGCATGGGAAGGGGTTGCTGGAAAGCGGGGACGACCTGTGGCCGGAAGCGACCGAGAAGCTGGAGATGGGTGGAGTTTTCTTCACATCATTCGTTGAGCTGTTTTGAAGAGAAGGAGCCGGTGCCGGTGCCTGTCAAGGGTATGCGAGCTGATGGGAACGATCTAGAGCTGGTGGGAGGGCGAGTACGAGGACACAAGCCCCCTTTGGAACCTTCCGTGGCTCCTTTTTTTGTTTGTAGTTATTCATGCGGCCAGTTTATTTCTGCTCAAGCTTTAGACTTTATTAAGCTGTTCGTTGAGGATATCGTGGTGAATTACCCTCCGTCCCATTCCGGGCTGGTATTGGTCGGTTTAGTCTCGGGATAGCTAGCATCATTTCGGATCACACATGCTACGTGACTTTTGCTTTTGGCTCGCTCGGCGTGCTATAGATATATCACCTTAAAGCGGAATACTTGTCTCCATGAATCGTTAGTACTTATGCATGTCTGTTTGAATGAATGAATGGGTTGTATCGAGGTGGATTGTATACGATGGGTGTTGGGTGATGTTTCAAGGAGCTGCCTGCTTAACGTCCGTCTGCAATGCACGAACGCGACACTGGAGAAATACCAGACTCCCTCCGCGTATTTATGGTCCTGGTTAGTCCTGTCACGCGCACCGTTAGTTTACCGGAACATCTCCACGCGGTTGCCAGGATGCCATGTGTCGCCGCTCGAGACGTTCTCGCTTGGGCCATCCGGCTTGGACTCAAACCGCAAACGCTGCCGCCTGGCCGCCCTGGCGCGAACGATGCCGCTGTTCGTGCATCCGTCAAACGCCAAACGCCCCAGGGCCGGTCGAGCCTCGGTCGGAAGTCGGGCAAACCCGTGAAAAGAGTTCAGATCCTGTGCGCCGACCGACTCTCTCCGTGTCCACTGCTGAAAAATGTGTCCCGGTGCCATTTAGGACCTTCCTCTGTGACACCTCTGGTATGTCGCGCCCGCCGTGACACCCCCTCCTGTCGGCAGCGCTGGCGAGCGGCGCAGCGCGCTCCGAGTTCGAGAAGCTGCCGCGGCGGGCGTCCGGCCTCAGCATGGACGACTGCCGCCTGCCCGGCAATGTGGCCAAGAACCGCTACAGGGACATCTCGCCCTGTGAGTGGACAGAGCCGGGTGGCGGCAGCAGTGGCGGCGGACGTGCGCGTGCGGCCGGGCGTGTTTATGTGCGTGCTTGTGTCTGCGTGTTTGTTTGTGCTGGGCTTGTTAGCCGATCTTGCAGCCTGCGGCGCGTTTTGGAAGAAAATGCTTCTCGCGGACTAAGATTTGTCAGCTTTAGGCTTAGGTCGAAATTAGGCTCATTCGTATTAGACATTCGCGGTCCCTGAAGTGGCCTGTCTACTCATCGTCATCATACACACATCACATCATACACATCATCATCATCATACACCCACCCGCGATACGCAGTACCGCTTACGCTGCCTGTGTGCGCACATGCATATGCTCATCCAGGCCGCGGCGCCCGGTCGGTCTCCGTGTCGTCGTTCCGCCCCCGACCTTCGGTGCTGCCATCTGTGGCGCTCGCTGGCCGCCGGCCGCCCCGCCGCTCTGACGGCGCCGGCTGTCCGCCCCGCAGACGACAGCACCCGGGTGCTGCTGACGTCGGCCGACTCCGGCGACTACATCAACGCCAACTACGTCAACATGGAGATTCCCGGTTCGGGCATCGTGAACCGGTACATCGCCGCCCAGGGTGAGTCGCCGTTCGGATCGGCCCCGTCGCCGTTCGGATCGGCCCCGTCGCCGTTCGGATCGGCCCCGTCGCCGTTCGGATCGGCCCCGTCGCCGTTCGGGTCGGCCCCGTCGCTGTCTGGGTCGGCCCCGTCGCTGTCTGGGTCGGCCCCGTCGCCGTTCGGGTCGGCCCCGTCGCTGTCTGCGTCGGCCCCGTCGCCGTTTGGGTCGGCCCGTCGCCGTTTGGGTCGGCCCCGTCGCCGTCGGGGTCGGCCCCGTCGCCGTCCGGGGTCGGCCCCGTCGCTGTCCGGGTCGGCCCCGTTGCCGGCGAACATCGGTTGGTAAATTGTCTTGCCGACAATATGCCGGCTGTAATAACAGGTCAGGTTAGCTGCGGCGGTTGTGTTCTCGCGCTCCTGTCGTCGCTTGTGGTCGAGGAAGCGCTGGGATGCTGAGTATGTGCTGAAGGCCGGTATTCCCTGGCCGGCCGCGGGCGCTGACGCCGGCCACTCCAGCGCGGCCAACCGAGCTGGAGTGTGTGTGTGTGTGGGGGGGGGGGGGGGGGGGCTGGAAAGCTCTCCAGAGCGGCGGCTCAGCCGGCACCGAACGGCACGCCTACCGTGGGCCCACGAGGCACCGCCGGCCGATTAGTGCACCGGGCGGCGGCGGCGCACCTGGGACCGGGCGCCCACACGCGCCGCCGTCGCCCCCGCCCCGCTCGATCTCAGGCGTCCGGCCGGCGGGGGCTGAAAGTGGAACGCCTTAAATGCGGGATGACGCTCGGGCTGACCATTTGTAACAGATGTCAAGGTTTCTCCAAGCCAAGTTCGATATCGTTCTCCCAAATTGTTTGCACAATTTCTGCACTGTCCAACGTCTTTATTCAGCTTTGCTTATCGGTTTTCAATAGCGAACTGGCTTGTAGCTTCGTAGGGTCGAATAGGGTCACTGTAGTCGAATTATTGGTACAGACGGATATGCACAAATTGTCTTTCATGCTTCACCGCAAGAGCATGGCTTTGAGTGTATAATTTATGACGCTTCTTGTACCACCTTGTATGAAGTGATGAAATAACGGGGCGCTTTAAATTGGTTCCAGCTGAGTTTTTTTAACAAAAGTAGTATGCGTCCTAAAGTGAGGGAACTGAACGCTTGGCTCGTTTTGGTCCCGCCGCAAGTTCCAACCTGCTCATTCCGGAGGAGCCCGAGACCGCCTGCTTGTATCTGCGTCCCTTGGGTGGAGCTTGTAGCCACCAGATAGTCTCTCCATTCCGGAGGAGCCCGAGACCGCCTGCTTGTAGCTGCGTCCCTTGGGTGGAGCTTGTGACCACCAGATAGTCTCTCCATTCCGGAGGAGCCCGAGACCGCCTGCTTGTATCTGCGTCCCTTGGGTGAAGCTTGTGACCACCAGATAGTCTCTCCATTCCGGAGGAGCCCGAGACCGCCTGCTTGTATCTGCGTCCCTTGGGTGGAGCTTGTGACCACCAGATAGTCTCTCCATTCCGGAGGAGCCCCAGACCGCCTGCTTGTATCTGCGTCCCTTGGGTGGAGCTTGTGACCACCAGATAGTCTCTCCATTCTGGAGGAGCCCCAGACCGCCTGCTTGTATCTGCGTCCCTTGGGTGGAACTTGTAGCCACCAGATAGTCTCTCCATTCTGGAGGAGCCCGAGACCGCCTGCTTGTGTCTGCGTCCCTTGGGTGGAGCTTGTAGCCACCAAATAGTCTCCACTCCGGAGGAGCCCCAGACCGCCTGTTTGTGTCTGCGTCCCTTGGGTGGAGCTTGTGGCCACCAAATGACCTCGCTCGGCGCGCGTTCGCACGCCCAATCACCATAACGGCGTGACACGTTGGGTGCTGCTGACATGACACACCCAGCCGTGTGTAGTCCCAAACGTTTTCGTGCCGTGTGCCGACGTGTCGCGTCGTGTCGTCAGGGCCGCTGAAGCATACGGCGGACGACTTCTGGGCGCTGGTGTGGGAGCAGCAGTGTCCGCTGGTGGTGATGCTGACCACGCTGGTGGAGCAGGGCCGGGTCAAGTGTCATCAGTACTGGCCGCCGGTCGGTGAGAGCCGTGTCCACGAGGGCCTGCGCGTCACCTGCACCGCCGAGCAGGTCACCGACAGCTTCGCCTTCCGCGAGATCGCGCTCGTGGCCGAGGAGGTGAGCGCTGCGAGCGGCCTCGGCCGGCCCGACGCGGCGGTCGTGGCGCTGCTGCGAGTGCGAGATTGGCGGTGGTTGTGCGTTGGCAGTTTGCGTGCGGTGAAAAGGTTGGAAGTTTCTCATAACGTGAAGGTTACCTTGGACGTGACCCGTCCTCATCATGTTCGTTGTAGGCGGCAGGACCGAGCAGTTGCAATCCCCCGTGGCCCGAATCATCTTCGCCGTGTTACGGCCACGTTCTTCTCGAAAAAGCTTGCAAATCGGCGCCGTATTGGTCGCCGGACACAGCCAGCGTGCGGGCCGTCTGGCGCTGGGCGCGTCGCCGCGACAGATGGCGCCGCCTGCCCTGACGCCGGCGGCTGGTTCCGGCGCCGCTGGGCGCGCCGCCGCGACAGATGGCGCCGCCTACCCTGACGCCGGCGGCCGATCCCCAGACGGGCGAGGAGCGGCACATCTCGCACATGCAGTACGTGTCGTGGCCGGACCACGGTGTGCCCGACCAGCCGGCCGACTTCGTGCGCTTCGTGCAGCGCGTGCGAACTGCGCGCGCCGGCCTGGTGGAGCCAACGGTGGTGCACTGCTCGGCCGGCATCGGGCGCACGGGCGTGCTCATCCTCATGGAGACGGCCATGTGCCTGATCGAGGCCAACCAGCCCGTCTATCCGCTGGAGGCGGTGCGCTGCATGAGGAACCAGCGCGCCATGATGATCCAGACTCCTGTAAGTGCTGCGGGCGGCGGGAAGAGCGGGGAGCGGCGGGAGCAGGCGTGGGATTGTGTTTGGGGGGGGGGGGGGAGGGGCGAGGGCGTGCCTGGCCGGTGTGGTGGGTGTGGGGTGAGGAGCGGGAGAGTTGCTGCTCTCGTGGGCTGCGTCTTCCGGTCTGGCCTTCATGTGTTCCGCGTCTGGCTCGATGTGGGTGTATTCCCAAGGTGGTGTGAGTTGGTGTGAGAGGTGGCGCTGGGTGCGTGTAGTTCCCGGGTGGGTGTGCTTAAGCGCCGAGCTGTCGTCAGTTCAACATACGGTATTCGTTTTCTTTTGGTGCGCACATTTGTGCACCATTTAACATTGGCTATGATTTCAACTCGTTGCAGTAAGCCGTTGTACATCGGTGCTTCCGTGAAGCAGCACGTCTCTGATGAAGCCGTGGTTGCGGTTCAGTGCCGTGTTCTAGCGAATGGGGCCGGGAGGCGTGCATACTGTTCGTCACGTCATCCGTAGTCTTCGCCGGGCTCTGTGATTAACTTCTACTCTTAACATGTTGGTTTCTTTTTCTTTTTCCTTTCTGCTTTGCTGTACTTTTCTATACTTTGTTCTCGTGGTAGAGTCTGTGCCGGTAGTGAGTGTACTGCGCCAGGGGCAGGCGTGGCAGGAGACGTGTCTGGAGGTCGTCTCGTGTGCCTGCTGTCTCTTGCGAGTCCCGCTGGTGACGCGGGCCGTCTTTCCGACCCGCACAGCGCACGAGCAGTACCAGGTGCCCGTCGGGTGGTGGCGCTGTATGGAACTGCGTTGTTGCGCAGTCACCATCAGCCCATGTGTGAGGCGGCGGTGCAGAATAAAGCGATGTGTTTCCCGGCGCCGTGCCCTTGTGCGGAGTCGGTGTCGGTTTTGTTGGTTGTCGGCTGTTCAGTGTGAGGCTGTCGTGTTACCCGTGTCTATCCCGCTGTTGCAGAGTCAGTACCAGTTTGTGTGCCAGGCGGTGCTGCAGGTGTACGAGGAGGGCACGGTGCGGCCGCTGTCCGAGTACACGCAGAGGTGAGGGCGCCCGACCGACGGCCGCCGCTAGTCAACGCTGCAAGTACAAGGCCGCTACCTTCTGTCGTCGCGGCCGCTCGCCCGCCGGCGACGGGGAGGCACCTGCCGGCCGTCGTGGCAAACAACAGTGCCGGACGTCGGCGCCCCGTGGCGCTGCGATCGTTCCCGGCCGGCGACGGCCCGCGACGTGCTGTGCGTGCCGCCGCGGACGCCTTTGGCTTTGGATAGTTTTGTAATTGAAGTTGCGGTGGCCCCGCTGGGGGCAGCGCGCGCGCGTGCGTGTGCGTGCGTGTGTCACGTGATTACGCCTCGGCCCGTCAAAGGCCGTCGGGCCCATCAGCCCGCCGACGTCCGCACCCGAGGGCAGCAGACGTGTGATGCACAGTCCAGCTAGTTTTGATGCGGTGCGTTGTCGGCCCGTGTGCGTGCACCGCGGGCTATATTTGTGCCGTCGGACGGGCGAGAGCGGACGCCCTGTTGTGGCAGCGATGCTGGTGTTGTCCATGTGTGCGGAAATGAGCTTGGAGGCGCTTCATGATCTCGATCTTAGTTTTGAGGTGGGATATTTTATGGCAGTCCGGATAAGTCGTTGGGTTGAATGGCCTCAGGGGAGTCCAGCTTTTCGACTGGGGTTTTATTCTCGAAAGTGTACATTGTTATTCATCGTTTTTTTTTTGTCCGTCTTGTCACCTCACTATCTGGTGAATGCGCAATACGATATTTATTGCCGTTTCCACTTTACCTTACTGAGAATCAAACACAGAAGACTGTTTTAAGTTGGCTTGATCAGATCAGCAACAATACAGAATGAAGACGGAAGCTTGTTCCTGCCTTTTACTTTCAACTGCTAGCCTGAGGAGGCTGGCAGCTTCATGTTTGTCCAATTATACAAAATGGTAAAGGTTGAAATTTATCGCCAGCTTAGATGCAACGAGGTCGACCAATTCATTTGGCTTGGAGCGTTTTGGTGGTCACGAAGATCTGCACCATACGTATGCTTGGAGTTGGTTGAGATCGTGAAGTCCATCGGACTGATTCACGCGGGGGTGCCTAGTTCTGGCAACACCGAGACGCTGGGAGGACGAGAGAGTGGGTGGGGGGGGGGGGGGGGGGGGCACGATCCACCTGTCTTAACCCCGCATGTTTTCCACCCGAATTCTCGCTGATCCCAACGCGATGCGGGCCTTGCGTTAACTGTATTCTTTCTCAGCTCCCTGCCCAGGTATTTCGCTTGGCTGGGCACGCGCCGCTCGTGCGCGGACAGCTTGTCGAAGTGCCGAACCCACGGGTGCAGAACAGCCTCTGTCATGCCCTGAGCATATGAAAAACAGCGTCTGATTCCACCAAGACAAATGGCAACAAAGAAGTCCGGCATGTCTTGACAAATTAAATCTTCAAAAAAGCAAAAAACAAAAAGGTACATCCGGCAGCCAGCGATACTTGGACCGATGTTCACAATGTCTTGACTTATGGTACGGAACCCGAGCCTAAAGAAAGAAGCTTAAGTCGTTATCGCCTTGGGGTCATTGACAAGTTTTCCTTTCTCCCGTATTCACCAATGAAGATACTCCCTCACTGTATAGATGGGACACGGATCAGTGGCGGTCCCCTATGAGGCCGACCACCTGATTAACCACGTGAGATTCGGGGCGGGTACAAACCAGCTATGAGGGCCATACTGAAATCGCAACGGGACACCCAGACTTGCACGTGACATTTTTGATAAAAAACTTAAAAATGTGCTTCGATCTACAAAATTTAAGGGGACTTAAAGACACGGTAAGGGCATATGTTTCCCCATCCTCCCACCCTACCATCCCCATTGGTTACAACCATAGTCACCCTCGCATTTCCAGTAAAGTTTGGCGTTATCACAATGCCGTTACATGCACTGACCAGGCGTGGGTAACAGGGATAGCCTAGGCCTGGATTCGGGTTTCATTTTCTATGCATTTATTTTCGTATAGACGAGGTGTCAAGTTGTACAAATTTAGGATTTGGGCATCTGGAATCAACGACGTCGCGAAAAGGGTCATATAAAGACCTTGCGCGGCCTGGTGACAACGACAATCACATTGTCTTGGCGGTAACATCCGGTACCAGTGGTTGGTTATTAAATCATCAGCTCGCTCCGACTGCCGAGCACGGGCATCAGATTCTATTCCCGTCAATTTGTGCTGGATTATATGTCAGCAGACTAAATTCATACGCTAACGGACAAAGCATGGATTGTTGCCACCCACTGTGAGTGAGCAAAGCAGTCCAGCACAACTTTAGGTCGCCGATGCGCCAAGTGACCTTCACATTTCTGAATTTAGCTTACGCTTTTCGACATCGTTAGCACCGAAAACCAGATTTACCGTAGCTGGCTGGCGGCGCCCAGCATACGGGACCTTCCAGTGCGGCCAGTGGTGTTTAGAAATAAGCCGCGCCCCGCCCGGAGCGTTGGTACCGCTTTTTCTCGATGAACCCTCTTTTAGAAGTACTGATGTTGTGACAAACCATATATGTGTGACGGCACGTAGCGTTTCCCCCCCGGGGTCTTAAACGTAAGTACAGCAATTTTCTTTAACAGGAATGGGTTGGCATGTGCGCTGCCATCGTCGACTCCGTGTTACTCACCCACTGGGTCGAGACTAGCTCTCGGGTTTTCAATTTAACTTGTGTGTTTGTGCCCTGAGTGTGGCTCCTGTCAAATGGTTCCATCCATCTGTTCTGTCTATCGCCTGTAGGTGGTCGGGGCAGTTCATCAAATGCTTAAGCTTTGCTCGTCGGCTGGGTACGTAAGTAGTCAGTTTGCCCGGTGAACGGCAGTCTTAAACTGGGTATGATGGGGATCAGTAGTGATCAGAGGATCTCATGTAGTAGTTGGAACAGTTCTCTGTTTTGTTTTCATCAGGTAATGGCGGGTATGTGAAGTGGAGGAATTAGCATAAGTCACATTGATTCCTGAAAAGAGAGATTGCAGTACTTAATTGTGTGTGGCCATCTATGCACGATGTTGTTTTTTCTAATGGAGACACTTCACATGAACCTTCATAAAAATTCAACCATTATTCAATTTGTCTGAAGACTGTTTCTCCAACAGCTCTGCCATGCCAATCTGTCACAACATCCTCTGCAGACCTCTACTGGCTCTGCTGGGAGGTGAAATGCTTTTCACAATACAAAATTAGGAACAACACTTGCATATTGCAGTGCCTTAATACAACAACAGCAGAATTTGAAGTTAAAGTGATTGTAAATATGAGAAGGAATTATAATAATCTTCAATTTGAGATTGATTTGAAGGAGAACTAGCAGTGTGCCCAGGAGGAGACCCTTTCTATGGTATGGCCTGAAAGTTATACCCTTGTGAGAGCACTTGAAGATTTTTTAGTTGCTGTTGTTATGCTGAAAGAACAACTGCATTATAGAAACCCTATGTCTTAACATGCTATATGTCAGCAAGTTGAAGATGATGATTGTAAGCTGTTGTTCCTAAAGTTCCACCCACACTACACCAACTTTCAAACTGTCTTTATGCACAGAATTCCACAGCCTCAAGGTGGAGTTGGTGGTGAGCAATGAGCAGCATAAGATGATCAGATTTTCACAACTCAATTATTCAAACCGGTGTTTGCAGTGGGGCACGCACTACTGGCCATGTCCTATTTTGTCTCATTGCATGTGATTGCTCCCAGCTCATGCCTGGCAGTGTGATCCGTGGGGGCGTGATTCCCATGTTGGATGTTAGGGCATGCCATGACAACCTGTCTCTGCTGTTGTTTGCTCTGTTATGTAAGAACATAAAAGTTGTTTCTGAGATGGTCTCAGGATTCTGGATTTAATTTTTGTACATAGTATTGTTAAAGGGAAAGGCAGATGTAATTTCTGTCAGATTTAGATCTGTTCAAATATATCTGGAATCATATTTAGTAGACTGGCTAAATCATCAAACCCAACATCATGAGCAGAACCATTAAATTTGTTTGCCCAAATAGCCATGTTCATTTTATTACCCAGTCTTTCTTAGGCATGTGGGCTGCAAATGTTGTCAGCTTGCTTTTATCCCTGTTTTGCTCCTGCCACCTTGCCATTATCCTGTTTAAACTTCACATACTCTGATCTGAGCTACCTCCCACTATAAACACCTGAAACCCTCCATTTGGCCCATTCTTGTTCTGTCTTAACTGATGCCTCTGATCCATGTGCTGTTGGGACAGGACTTGGAGCCCTGTTGTTTGCAGTATTCCTGCCTTGACACCTGCTGATCAGACGACTATGTTCTGTTATCACGGGGTGTTGTTCACAAATGCCTAATTACCACCAATGAAGTAGGTCTAAAGCACTGAAGTTGTGCTGTTAATTAAAATTGAGTCAGTTTTTGACAGATTTCAAGATGGGGACAAGTCTTTCCATGTGGCTTGAAAAAGTATTGCTGTAAGTAGGCTTGGTGCTCCAAGGCTCCTTATTGTCTCATCTTCATGTGCAACAGCTTAGCTAATAACAATATAACTGCTACAAAGCAGTGTCCATTCTACATAACAGCTGTGGCACACAGCTCCGGTCATTTTGATGCTGATGGAAGTCTCTGTATATGGGAGTAGGAATAGGCTATAGCATTGCAGCATCCCAAAGGGCATCTATGCTGAAGCTAAAAAGGCCTGTGACATTGATTGAAACTACTGTTTTGAGTTGGAGAAAACAGATGATAATGCTACCCACTTCTTAGCCTGCAGAAGCTTCCTGCTCTCCAGCTTCATTGTGCAGTGAGAATAAATTGATTGTTCACATACATATACTCCTCAGAGTGCAACAAGGTATGAAATTTTGATGTGTGTGAAGAAACTGTGATGTCTTTCATCATACCTGGATGTTGACAAATTGTCTATTAGCTAACATGAAAGTATGATTCACCCATGTTGGAATAAGGTAATCAGGATTTCTATTGAGACTTCTATTTAAGCTGCAATGATGCACCTGTCAGTTTGGTCCCCGAACAATAACATGTGTGAGAATATCATGAAGATTGAGATAACAAAGCAGCTATTAAGATACTAGACCAGTAGCAATGGCATATTGATCCAGGTACCTGAAGAAGATGGGATCATAAGTGTGTGAGCTCCAGTGTGGTGGCCTGTTGGGTCTGTGTCACACACAGTTTGCCTTCTTCTTTCTCATTGTGGGCTGCTTGTTGTGATACTTTGGATGGTAGTATGTTCTATTGTGCTCCAAATGGTTGCCCATCTGCATTCTCTGAGGCATTTTTGGTTGCAATGCATTTAACCCTCACCTTGACTTACTGGTCAGTATTTTTGAGTTTATTGAACTGGCAGTGAACTGAACTGAACTGAACTGAACTCACACTGCCAATGTCCTGTGGTATATCCAAAGCATGCCACCTTTGTTGTGTCCATGCCTAGACAGCTGCTCAAATTCAGAGACCAGTAAGTAGCAGTTAGGTTAGAGGGTTACCAATAGAGAAGCAATTTTCGCTGATGGCCTTGGTCATATTTCACTGATGGCCATGCTTGAAACATTGTTGCCAGGTCATCATAAGATGCATGTGCATTCCAAGGAAAAGGCGAGCCATTCTGCTGCCTGTTTCAACCTTTGCTGGGCTTTCTGGAAGCATGTGCTACATCCCTGGGTTCGTTGAGGGGTGCCTTCCCGTCAATGCGTCGATCATTCACGGGTACTATCGGACTCGAATGGCGACATCTGACATCCACTGGCTCCGAAATGGCCATGCTGACCGCGGAGTGGCGGGTCGCGGGCGGGTCTCGTGCTGACCGCGGAGTGGTGGGCTGCGGGCCGATCTCATGCTGGCCGCGGAGTGGCGGGCGGCGGGCTAATCTCTTGCTGACCGCGGAGTGGCGGGCTGCGGGCTGATCTCATGCTGACCGCGGAGTGGCGGGCCGCGGGCTGGTCTCATGCTGACTGCGGAGTGGCGGGCCGTGGGCTGATCTCACGCTGGCCGCGATGTGGCGGGCCGTGGGTTGGTCTTGTGCTGACCGCGGAGTGACGGGCCGCGGGCTGATTTCATGCTGACCGCGGAGTGACGGGCCGCGGACTGGTCTCATGCTGGCCGCGGAGTGACGGGCCACGGGTTGGTCTTGTGCTGACCGCCGAGTGACGGGCCGCGGGCTGGTCTTGTGCTGCGGTGGCGAGAGCTCGCGGCCAGCCTCCGTCAGCCGCCGGCCCCGCTCGCCCTTTGGTGGCGGCGCACCTGCCAGCCGTGTCCGCCCGACGGTCGCGGCGTCGCCTCTGGGCCGGACTGGCGGACGCCGCCTGCGCCGTGTCAGCCGCCTGTTGCCGAGTCGCGGCGGCTGGCGGCGGCCACGGCCGGCACTCTCTGGGCTCCGGCTCTCGGAAGTCGTGCAGGCCGGCCGTGACGCGGCTGCGCCCTGTCGACCGGTTCGCACGCTCCCGGGGAGAGAGAGAGGGGGGGGGGGGGGGGAGAGGCCGGTCGCGGGGACCGCGCGTCCGCCGCCGCCGCCGCCGCCGCCGGGCCCGGTCACAGGGCAATGGGCCGTGCTGATGACGCCTGGCTGGCGTCAGAAACCAGCGACGAGGACCGTATTGGGCTCGTCAAGTAGATGCCGACAGCGCTGTCGGCGTCATTTGTTTGTAACTCGTGTTGGTGGGAGGTGTTTCCGGTCGGGGCTCGATGAGTGACCATCAGTGCTGGGCTCGCGCTCAGTTTCGGAATCATGGAAGGGCTCTGTACGGTGGGGCTTGTCATGACTGCTGACTGCTGTGGAACACAGCTTTGTTGGAGCCCCGGGGCCAAGTAGATTAAAACGTGAAGGGACAAGGCTAAGACTTGATATGATTGAGAATGTAACTCACTTGCCGACGGACCTGACGCGTTGCTGCGAAAAGGTTCCTTTAGCATACAGCTTTGGAGGAGGCCAAGTCCCGGCAGCGGATGTCTGGCACGCCGCTCTCCCCTCACAGTGGACGGCAGACACGCTGCGATTTTTTGCGGTGCGGGTTGTGTCGTGTGCTCGGTTTTTGCGTAGGTGTCGAATTTCCCCGACCAGGAGATAGGACGCTGGCAGCCGTGCCTTGTCTCGGCTTGGAATAGCACGAATTGTTGCAGATAGTTGGCAACGCTTAACTGCCGGGGGGGGGGGGGGGGGAGGAGGGGGAGGGGGGCGAAATTGTTCCGTGGTGGGAGCCGTTTAGGAACGGATTGAGTGACGGCCTGATCCCAGCGTAGCCATTTTTGCATGCCGAAATTCGGACTGCTGTGCATTCGGTTTTGGAAGCCCCTTCAAATCATGCCCCATATCCGTACTGTGTCACTTTCGCCCTTAGCCTTTCGTCCACGTGCATGTAAGCCTGCTACAGGAGACCACGCCTATGTAGTCAATACATTGCAGGCTTTTGGACATGCTTTGTGCGGACTTGTCGTGAGGGCCGCTCCAGCGAGTGAGTCCTGTCCAGTGAGTGGGTCGGCGGTGGCTGCTCGCGACTTCCTGACGCAGCTCTCGAACTGTTTCCTATCGAATTCTAATGTTTTGTCTGCTTCGATGTAGCAATTTTAACATCAGATTGCTTTCAGTGGTTGTTCTGGCTGCGGGGCGGGGCTATAATGATATATTGGAGGAATGGTATGTATTTTCGTATGCAGGAAGTTATGAAATATGCCGCATATTTCAAGGCAGGAAGTCCAGTTTCGTTGCAGGGATGTCGTCAAGTGATGCATTGTGACACATGCAAATGATAATGGGATGTGCTAGGGTGTATCCAGGTCTGAAGGTAAATTAGATGGGCAGAATGACAACGTGTTTGCTTTCGGATCTTTCTGGTGCCTGTTGGATGTAACATTAGTTCTAAATGGTTACGCAAAGTACAACCTCCACTAAAGTGTATTTCATTTTTGTCACCTTACCCATCAGACAAGCTGTGAGCTGTTCGGACAGAACCACACACACTGGACTTTGCTTTGCAGCTTTTTTAGCTTCAAAGCCAGCTTTCAGACGATTTTTCGATTCAATATGCAGTTTCTGGGGGGTGGGGGAATGTGAGCGAAACGGCTCCGCGGCACGGATGTGCAGCGGAGCTGGGGTCTGGGCGAGTGAAATCCTCCACCCGATCGGCCTGCTTACTATCCCTGGCCCCAGCCGTATCCACCCACCAACCGAGCCCGCTCCGTCGCTGCCCACCAGTTACACCTATTTACCCTTGTGTGAAGTTGCGTTCTTAAATGATTCAAGCTGAGACACATTGTGTGGTGTTTCGGGAAGTTTCTACCCTCCTCCGTCCTTACTGCTTCTCAATGCAATGTCATGGGTTCACTACATTTCCAATGGACATCGACGGTTGCGGAACCCGTCATATTCCCCAACATATAAGTTTTCTTACTTTTCTAAACAACCGGTGAATCACCCCTTGGAAGTGAAAATGAAGACGGTACTCTAACACATGTCGCATTTCATGATTTTGCTGTAATGCAAGTGCTCATGGTGTGTTTTACTGATCTCTGTGTTGCTGCTCCCCCCCCCCCCCCCCCCCCCTCCTGATCACAATGACTTCTTCGCTGCACGACAGGAACACGCTCATTGTCATGACAAGTTGTCCTCCCAGTCTTGAGAAGGGACTTCGAAGCATTCTAACTTTGCTTTCTTTGTTTTGCATAGCCCCAATTGGCAAATCGGTAAGCCCCATCGTCTCATTTGAAATATACATGAACCTGCAATATTTTGAAATGGCCACGTATACTCCTTATCCGCCCGTCCACTGTGCGCTTGTTGCCTCAAAGTCTAAATGATTAAACACACCTGGCTGTAACTGTGTACCCGGTTGCCGCAGGCATTTCCGTTGCCGAACTCTTACGATCCATCCCCCAGCTTGCCTCCAAATACACGGATGACCTCGCTGTGGATGTGCGTGGTGCCGGGACCGCTGTGCCGCCGGGCGTTGTCCGGCTCGGCGGGGCTTTCACAGGCGAGTCGGCCCCCTCCGCCGGCCGGCGCCCAGTCGCAGCGTCGCTGATCGTGTCCACCGGCGGGGGCGCTCTCCGCGCGGGCAGCGTCTGGCGGGGTGGCCGGCGCCGGCCGGCCGCGGCGAGCCTCCGTAGCCAGGCAGGCACCGGCGAGCGGCGCGAGCGCGAGTGGCGCCTCGCTCGCGGGCTGTTTGTTTTGAAGGTGGTGTCTGCAGGTGAGCCTATCGTGAACGGCTAGTCATTGGGGAGCTGTGGATTCTGTCGACGTGGCGTGCTACTCTCCGCCGCCGCTGAGCATGTGTTGCTGCCCGCTCCACTGCGCCGTCGCTGTGCGCTGAAGGTGTCACCAGTGACGATGCGTCGCCTGCCACTGACGCGGGCCCGGCCCGGAGCGAGGCTCGCCGCACTCCCGTCAGATGATGGCTGGCCGCTCGGCAGCGATGTGCGGCCGCCTTCGCTGGCGTAGTGGCTCCAGGCGACGTCGTTCCGCCGTGCGCGGCCACGCCCAGCCAACTTCCGTCGGAGTCCGGCTCAGCCGGCGTCCAGCGGGAGCCGTCAGTGGCGCGGCGGCGGCCCCGGGACGGCACACCCTTGCCCCTTTCCCAGCCCCACCCCTGTACCTCGTCGGTGACTCGCCGCCGACCGGGAGTGGTGCGCTCCGCCCGTCCCCTCCCCTCCCCTCCCCCCTTCCCCCCGCCCATCAGTGACCCGCCGTCGGCTCGGAGGGCGGCCGTCCGGTCGATGCGACGATTACCCCTGCCAACGGGGGGCTGTAATGACCCGTGCCGACTGCTCGTTAGTTCGTCGGTGGCGCTGCCGCCGCCGGCCCGCTGCGGGCCGGCTGCGACGCGCCGTCAGCCTGCGCGGCCGCCGACCGGCGCTGACGCTAGGACCTCACGCCGCTCGGGGAGCGATCGTGGCCGGCAGCGACGCTCGCGGGGTGTCGACAGGCACCACGCTTTTCGTCTCCCGCCTTGTCGGAGCCTAGAGGTTTTCCGCTTGGACGTCTTCAGGGTGGTTTTTGTTCGATCGTGTCGGGCATGGACAGATTCTGAGCGGTCGATCTGGGACGTCGTGTGTCCGTCATTGTCCACTTGGGCTTGTTTGACGGCTTCAGGCTGGAGTCATGCCACTCGGTCATCCCGGACTGGGCTGTTCACCGTGCGACCGCCCCCCCCCCCTCTCCCCCTCTGGCTCGTCCGGTGCTGGCCTCGACTGCCCCGCCCAGCGGCGCCGGCTGAAGGGCCGCTTGAAGCTCCCGCACTGACGCGCCGCGGCGCGTGGTCGGCTGACCCACGTGCGGCGGGCTGCGCGCGCGCCCGCGCGCCGGTCCAGGCCTCGCCTTGGCCGGCCTCGCCGTCGGCGGCGACGGCGACGGCGGCACGATCGGTTCGTCGCGCCTGGTGGCCGGATCAATATGTGGAGGCGGCGCGCGCGGCCGCCGGCGGCGCCCGGCCGGAGACCGGCGCCGACCGTCAGCCACCCCGGAGCGGCGCCATGAGACGCTCGGCTCTCGCCTGACGCGGCGCCCGCCGACCGCGCCCGCCCGGCCCCGCGAGCTGCTCGTGCCGAGAGCCGCCGCCGCCGCCGCCGCCGCTACCGCCCGTGCCGGCATGGTCCGCTAGGCTCTGCCCCGCGTCGTCCGCAGTCTGGTCCGCGAGCGTCAGTGGTCGCCGCCGCCGCCGCCGAGCTGCCGCCTCCGCCATCTTGGCATGCGGGAGCGGCGCGCCGCCGGCGGGGATCTTGGAGAGGGTGGCGTCGTGACTTACCGGCCAGCGCGCCGCCTCAGATAGCCGGCGGCGTCGACCGCGTGGCTCGCACGGGCGCCCAGCGCCGCATGAGCACACGAGGTGAGCGTTCGGGCTGGCGACCCGCCTGTGCCCCGCCCCGCCCGCCCCTCCCCGTCTCGCCACGCCCCGCCCCCCTCGCTGTTGTCCGCTCCTAACGAGGGCGGTCCGTGGCCAGCTGGCGCTTGTTCGGGGGGTCTAAGCAGGGCTGCAGATGTTGTGAGCCACACTTCTGTGTTCCGCCGTGGCATGGGCGAATGCTAAATGTTTGAATGGTCGATTATCACCGAATGTTTCCGCTCTGTAGGGTGCGCCGGCAGACCAGTCAGTCAAGGTGTGTGGAAGGGGCGCTTCAGTGGCGTGGTCCCGTCTGCAGGCGTAGTGTTGAACGTGTTGTGGTAGAGGCGAGACAGGCGCTGCGTGGCCTGTGACGGTCGAGTGGCGTACCCCGCTGGGTCTGCCGTCGATTTCCGACGGCAGCCAGGTATGTACTGGCTGGCCGGCCTCTGGGAAGCGTCCCGCTGCCTCCGCTGGAGACGCTTCCCTGGCGGCCAGTGTGCGCCCCAGACGGACGACGGCCGGGTTCTGACGGAGAGCTCACTCTGAGCTCCGTCCTCGGCTCCGGAGAGCACGGAGAGCACGGAGCAGTCGGCCCGGTGCTGGGCGGCCGGCGGTGCACCAGCCCGGCGCGTGACCTCGGGTCAGGTCGGCTCCGTCAGTACGGCGCCAGCTGATGCCGAGGTGCGGCGGGCGGGCCGGCGGCTGGAGCTCCCGACGGCGTCCTGGAACGCTCGCCGCCGTATCATTCGCTCCCGCATCGCGCCGGCCACTCATGGGTGGGACGGCTTCCCGTCCCTGTTGTGGAAGGACCGCTTCGTTGAGGTCACCTATCGAGCGGCCAGGCAAATGGGCTGCTGGGCGTGTCCTGCCGGCGTTGTAACCCTGGGTGTGCCCATTGCCAGCCCGAGGTAGAGCCAGGCTCGGAGCTGGTGTGCTCTGCCGGTCACGGCGTGTTGACGTCCCCGGTTTGGGTTAATGTTCCCTCCCCCTGCCGAGGCTGCCGGCGCGTCCTCGGCGATCGCCGGCGGGACCCGGCTATCGCCGAGGGCGTGACTGGCACTCCACCGGACAGCCGCGTCTTCCTGGCCATTGACGGGCCGCTGCGGCCGAGGTGCCCCCCCCCCCCCCCCCGGCGTGCCGGTTTGGTGGTCCAGCCCCTCGCGCTGTTAACCAATCGAGGTCAGCTGGCTCCGCTCGTGAGCCATGGGGTTACGGCGGGCTGGCCACAGGACGTGTGTGGATGCGTGTCGCAACTTCCGTGGTGCGTGACGAGTAATTATTCGTGGGCTTCAAGCTTCTGCGCGAGTTTTCTCGGGGCCGTTCGACGCCGCGGACATGCCATTATGGTGCATGCTTGGGTCCATTCAGGGCCGTTAGGACGTGCACTAAGGGTGGAAAGAAGTACGCCGCGTGCATGGTGTCCGTTCTCATGTATCGACTGTTATGTTTGATACGTGTCGGGCGCCGTCAATCAAACGGCAGATTCACGTCGAGACCATCCCACTGAAAGTTAGACAACGGTGAGCGTACGATCAGTTACGGTTGCCCCCGCTTTCAGTGAGGGCTCAGTCTGCGGCCATAGTTCGGCTGGCGCCGGCGAGAAGGCGACATCTCTTGCATAAGTGCTTGCCTCGTTTCTGGAATGGCTTGACGTCACCCGTCGGATGCAGCGCCGGCTTAGCTAACGTTTCTGCGACCGATGCCGCCGTGTGAGCCGGACCACGGGTCAGCAGAATTGTGGCGCTGTATTATCTGGCGCGTTTACTTTTTGCTGTGCATTCTTTTCACCCTTCTGCCACCATTGGGAACGCGCGGAACAGATCTTAACGATGATTGCCTGACACGATGTTCTGTTCAGCATTGATTTGAAGATTCTTTCTTGCTTTCGGCAGCCCCCGGAGCATCAGGCGTTGATAGGATCCGATAATGTTTGATCATCTTGATTGGTTGTGCTGAGCGTTCGACAGTATCTCGCCTGTAACGTGGTCATCGGTCCGGGCGGATTTTCATTGAGGACGGGGCTGGGATTTAGTTCGCTAAGTTTTAACCGGCCACTAATTTCCATGAATGTTTGACCAGGGATTTCCGTTTGCGTTTGCAAAGTCGCGATTCTTGCAGCGCCGTCCGTGCAGAAGAAGTCTGCTGGATGGTTACGACACTCACCGCTGACGGCCAGCAGCGGGCCGGTCCCACATGGCGCGCTGGCAGCCCGCCGCTCCCGTCCGTCCTGCCCCCGGCTCGTGCAGCCCTCGCAGCACACGTCGGTGTGGCTCGGCCGGTCCAGCCGGCACAGTCCGGAGTGTGCCGCGGCGTCTCACCGTCGGCCGGTGACCCCGAGTCCGGTCACGGCAGGTGCCGCTGAGGTCAGGCGGGGCACCGCCACGGAGCGGGTGGGTCGTGACCCGGCGCCACCGCGGCCGGGATCGGCGGCGCCGGGCGGAACCGCGCCGGACACCAGCCGCCGTTGTGTTGTCGCGTTCGGTCGCGGGCCGGCCGCTTGTGCGATCGCCGACGTGTCTTTGGTAGGGGGAGGAGAACGCTGTGTGAGGTGTGGCTTGTCAGGATTTCCCACACATACAGAGTCGGTTGTGGCCAGCTGTAGTCACGCAGCGGCCGGGGAGTCCCGAGGGGGTTCGCCGGGAGGTGGGTTTCTCCAGCATTGCACCGGCACGGTCGCACCCTGCGGTCGGCTTGCTCGCCTGGAGTGTTTTGCAGCGCTGCAGGGCTGTCTGGTTCTCGACCATAGTGTTGGAATATTTACACTTTGTTAGGGAATTCAGCTGTGATAAAATGTATGTTCCGGATTTCGTCCCGGAAAAATTGGACTCGCGAGGCTCACCTTGCACAAACCACACAGTCATGATCAATGTTAAGCACGAAGTACCAGACCCATATACGGCACATTAATATCTCGTTGAACAAACCGTGCCGAACGATTTCATAACCGGCGTTCACTCACGGTACCCCATCCGTCCCCACCCACATTGCAATTGCAAAATCCTCCTACCGGGCCTCGTTTCTTCTGTGCTCTCACTGCACAATAATGTATATGCCACATGGGCGCCAAGCTTGTCTGCAATCGCACCTGCGCGTGCCGAAGTCGGGCCGGAGACGTCCCGGGAGCGTTCACAGACGGCCACGCTATGGGTGGGAATGTAGCGCCTCTCTCGGTGCTGCCTCGGAGACATCACTCCGCGGGCTCGCCGCCCCGTCATTGGCTGTTGCATGAGGTGGGCCGGACATAGTGCCTGTGTCGTGAGAGGTTTGTCCATCTGATCTATGAAAAAAAATGCTTACGAAAGCAGAGTATGGCCAGTTGTGCTGCGCATCAGCCCAGGTATCGCCGACTTATCTGAAACCGAATATGGTAGACAAGGAAGGGATGCGAGCCCCGTGCGGGTGGGTAGTGTCTTCACCCATGGGGCGAGTGGAGACGAAGGATTACGAACAGCGAGGTGCAGGACGAGAAGGCGCACTGGGATCACTTCCGGCCTATGTTACGGTCACTTCCGGTTACGGTCGGTGTTGTTGTTCGTGTACATGGCTGAAGAATTTGCGGCAAATTGTACGCAGAAGCATGCTATTTCGTGCACCGGATAGGTCTCGGTGCCCAGACCGTTTAAACCCCACGGTATCCGATTGAAAGTCAATAGACGGAGCTAAAATATGTCTTAATTTGGTGAGTTTAGGGAAATATGATCAGTTCTTATCAGATTTCAAGGAAAATTTGAATCCAATCTGTAAGCAAGCGGGTCAACAGCATACGCGGTGCTCTTGAGATAGTTGAATTTGAAGTAAAGTTAGCTGTTTTTCATTTTTCATGACACATTCATCACACTCAAGGCTTGCATAAATGAGTTTCGTCATGACGTGTACCTGGGAAGCATGGACACAACAAACCTAAGTTGATGAACAAAACCAATTGAGGCAGATGTTGATCAACAAAACGTAAACAAAGTTAGGCAAAGTCGATTTTGCCAAGAGACTAAGCCAACCTGCTAAAACGTCCCTATTTCTGTATGTCATAGACGCAAGGGAATACAATAAATTCATCTGCGAACTGGTTGGGACAAAGGTACTCCAACCCTGAACCTCCGAATAGAAATTCCCACTTTGCTCTTGAGTACATGCTAGACGTTCGCGCGGCAGACCGTCGCGGCCAGCTGGCGGGTCGTGGCGTGCGCAGCGACGCTCGTGACACCGGTGACGGTGACCGGCGCGCTACGTCTGAAGCACGGCTGGCGGCGGGCGCCTCGCCGCGTGGACCGCCGGTCGTCTGTGTGCTCGGCTGCCGGCGGCGGTGGCGGTGTCTCGGTGCCGTCCGTGTGCTCGGCTGCCGGCGGCGGCGGTGTGTCGGTGCCGGCCGGCCGCGGTGGGCTCCGGTGCGCGCGCTCCGTCTCGCCGGCCGTCTTCAACCTCCGGCGTGGGCGCACCAGACGCTGGTGGGCGAGACCGCGGCGTCCGGGAAACGACCAAGGCCGCGCCGGCCGGGCCGCAGCCGGAGCCCGCTGCGGTGACGTCCTCACGCCAGACGGCTTCCAGGGCTCGGTCCCACATGGGGCCCTGTCAACGCGCGACAGGAATAGCCCCGTGTAAACCAAGACCATGAATTGTTAAGGCGTGGGGAATGTTAATCACTCTGCGGCATGGGCGGATCTTTTCGTTTCTTTTGCGTTGGGCTGCTGGGTCACCTACGGCTCTTGTTTTGCCCTGCCCTCCAAATAGGATGGTTGGGCAGAACCAAAAGCCTGGCTGTTTGCCTCTCCCGATGTTACGTATTTAGTGATTTAATGGAGCTACGCCGAACAGCTGTATGACATGGACACGCGCGGAATCTGCATTTGTCATCATTGTTGGTAAATTTCTCCGAAACGGCAATGTTTGTCTCTGTTGCTGTGGTAGTGTTGTAACGATCATAGTTTTCAGTTTATATTATAAATAGTGCCGTTTGGGCTGATCTAGAAAATATCTATATGGTACAAGCCCCCTTTGTTGGATGCGTGGTGGGGTTTGTGAATACCGACGGGGCTACATAGGTTCGGGAATTGTTATCGCAACAGCTACTTCTCACTGGCATGACGATGCACTCCCCGGAAGTGAGGCTAGCAGCGCCTCTAGCTATCGCCACCACCAGCCGGGCAGCCTGCATTCTCCCAGTGTTTTGTGGGCGCGGGCCTGGGCCGTCCGGCACCGGGGCCCGGCTATCGAAGCGGAGCGCGGCGGCAACAGCTGGCGGCCAGTGTGGACACGGCCGCTAAGGTCAGGGGTCAGCCGGGTCGGAACTGCGCCTCGGGCGCCGTCACGTGCCTGCCGGCGGCGGTCACGTGACGGCGCCGCTGGCCGCCGCGTGTGGCGGCGTGCTTGGCCGGGCTGGTGCGGGCCTTCCCGAGAGGCGGGGCCGCGTGCGCTCCGGGCGGTGGCGTGCGTCCGCTGGCCGGGCCGACGGCTTTGCCGTGACTGCCGTCCGCCGAGTGGTCGGCGCCGGCCGTTACGTCCTCGACGGCCGGCGGCGTGGCGCCGGGAGCGCCGGCCGTCAGCCAGCGTTCAGCGGCGCGAGCGCGGCGCCGCCGTTTCTCCGGTGACGTCCGGTTCCGACGGCGGCCGGATGTACGCGATAAGAGTGGAGGGCGGTCGGTCCGGTGAAGATGCGGCCGCTGGCGGCTGTGCGTCGATCGGCCAGCCGGCTCCCCCCCCCCCTCCCCTCCCCTCCCGGCTATCCGTCTTGCGGACCACACGCGCCGCTGGTCGCCAATCCGGCGTGTTATCGGCGGGCGGGACGGCCGGCGCGCGGCCTCCCGATCGCTCAGCGATGCGCGGCCGGCCGCACGGCCGCCCGCTCTCCGTCCCGTCCCCGGCCGGCGGCGCGACGCGAGCCGGGCCGCCGCCGTGATGGATGCCGCCGCGCGCCTGTCGTCCGGCCGGCGGCGGCGGCGGCGGCCCGCAATCTGACGCAGGGTCTGACGGCGTGCTCACGTGTGGCACGCTGCACCGCCAGCCGCCACGTCACTTCGCCAGGCGGGACGAGGCGCTGGGTGACGGCGAGCGGCGCTCCGCCCGTTCCGCCGGTGTACCCCGATCCCTGTAGACGGGCGTGTGCTGGACCGGCCACAGCCTGGTACTGGCAGGCGGGTTTATGTCGCATCGATCGCACCACGGTCCGTCTCGGCAGACGAGCGCTCTCTTTCGCGCAGCTTCGGTCCCGGTCTTGGCTGACAGGCTCTGTCCTGGTCCTGGCTCGCAGGCCCGGTCCCGGTCCTGGCGTGCAGCCTCGGTTCGGGTCCTGGCGGGCAGGCTCGCACGGCCCGAGCTGGTCAGGTCCGACGGTCAGCGGCCAGCAGGGCCCGCAGCGCCGGCCCGCCCGTTGGTAGCCTCCTACGCAGTGCGCTGCGGTCGGGCCTCGCCAGCGGCGGACCTGCCGACCCCAACACCGGACCGCGTCCAGGCGGCCTGCAGCGCCGCCCGAGGTCACCGGATTTGATGGTCTGGAGTGCGGGGATGGGCTAAGCCCTAGTTCCGTCTGTGGTGCGCTCTTGGGCGAAACTGGCATGGTCGTCCCTGCCTGTCCATGACATGGTCGTCCCTGCCTGTCCATGACAGTCGTCCCTGCCTGTCCATGACGTGGTCGCCCATGCCCGCGCCAGGGGCGAGACCCAGGGTTGACGTGGCGGATGACGAAGCAGCCCTGTGTGCCGCGGGTGGCGCGACGCCGTGACCGCGCGACGCTGCCCCCAGCGCCACGGGCCGGCGCGGCGCGCCGGGACAACGCCAAACCATCACCACTACCACCACCGCATCGCGACGGGGCCGAGGTATTCGCCCCGAGAAGCTCGCTGCCGGGCTGGGCAGTGGACAATGCTTGTCTGCGGAGTGGGCCGCTGCTGGGGCGGAGGTCAGGTCAAGTTAGGTCGGGTCGGGCCGGACCGGGGGACGCCGGCCTGCCGCCCTGCCGACACGCGGCGCGCGGCCGCGCTCGTGGGCGCCGGCTCAGGCGGCCGGACGCTGGCGGCCGGCGCGAAAGACGCCTCTGTTTTCGTTTTGAGGCGGGGCCCGAGATGCACGCGGAGTCTCAGACCTGAATCCAGGGCACGTTTGGTGGACCTAGGGCACGTCTGGTGGACCTGAGGCACGCCTGGTGGACCTAGGGCACAGCCGGTGAACCTGGGGCACATCTGAAAATGCTGGGCCACATCTGGTGGACCTGGCCCACGTCTGGTGGACCTGGCCCACGTCTGGAAAGCCTGGATGATGTCTGGCTGACGTTGGGCGCGTCTGGATGATCCAGCCTGGCGCGTCGGTTGTGGAGCACTACAGCGATTGTTGAATTGATGTCAAGAAAGGCTCCTGAGCGCAGCTGTCCTCGCAGGAATGTGAGCGTTCTGAGTATTGCAGTGGATTGTTTCCGTGTCACACCCTATGAGTTCCTGTGACAGACATCGGGACGCGGGCCGGTGCGCGCAGCCTGAGCGGAAGTTGGGCCTGAGAGGCGCCGAGGTGCTACTGGTGATGCGGTGTGCGCGTAATTGGGGTGGGAATTGTCCACAGCTTTTCGTCGGTCGTCCCATCTTGTCTAGGTAAACGGCTGCGCGAAGTGCAAGTGACTTGTGCCTTCCGCTCGTTCTCGAGCCGAATGGCAGCGTTCAGGCTCTGGTATGGGGATGAGGTCTTCCTTTTTGTAAGACCCTAGGCAGCGACGGAGATGCCGCCGTCCAGCCGACCGCACGGTCGCCAGAAGAAAATCTGTTTGCTCGCCAGCTGTTCGACAGGATCCCGGTGTATGAGTGGGACCAGTCCTTCACCAGTCAGTCGTGTCCCTTAGTGATGGAGGCTCTGGCGACAGGATGAAGTGGACAGTGCGTACCGCGGCTTCTCCCCCCCCCCCCCTCCCCCCACTATCACCACTGCTTGTGCACGTGTTGCGAAGCTGATGGCTGACGTGTGCTGCCATTGCCACGTTAACTGTGATCTTTTTCCGTTTCAGATTTTTTATACTTAATTTTTAGCAAGTATGAATGAGTTGGATACATTGAGGCAAGAGGCGGAGACATTAAAAAACGCCATTCGAGTGAGTATCCCATCCCATCACCCGAAGATCACTGAAAAACAACCAATTGTCCGCCGTGTACTGTTTACAGGGTGGTGCACGCAGTTACGTTATTATCACCACCCTCGTCCCGGAATCATCATCATGTTTCGGCCGTTTGTGTGTCTGTGCGTGAAGTACGCCCATGGTCTTGACGTTTCTAGGTGAGACACATCATTGACAAGCTGACTGTCCCAGTGAACTGCTCGGGGCCTAACCTGTCGTCAGATAAGTCTAGCTTACAAGCCATCCAAACCGATGAATGCGCGGGCATAGATTACGGTTGATGCAGATTGCTGACGGTCGTTCCTCCACCGCTGGCCGGGCGGCGGTGAACGACCGCGGTGACCGCGAACGCGCACCAGGCTACAGTGGTCCGAGTTTCTACTGAGGACGACCGCTCAGTGTTGATTCAGCGCTGTCTGGCATGAAGCCGCATAGCCCGGCTCCGGGTAGCGCGTTGCGGCGCCGGCTGCCTCGTGTGACGTCTTCTTGGGAGGGCCGCCGGCTCTGTACCTGGTGGCCGCAGTCGCCGGGTGGCCCACGTCTCGGCGTCGGGAAGGCAGGCGGAGAGGCCGGCATCGTGTCAGGCAACTGTCAAGTGGCGCACGCGGCTCAGAAGTCCTCCTCGCGTGCGTCGTCATCCGCGTGGAATGAACAGAACGCGCGCTTAAAAAGGCGCCAAAAGGCGGTGGTGATCTTTGCGCTTGGCCCACCATCAGCTGGCTGTTGCGCGGTCGCGTTGTCTCATGCGATCCCTGACGGGTGGGTGGGAGAGCGCCGAGAGATGGCATGCGTCGCCGGTCCCTCGCGTGCGGTGCCGGGGTGAGGCCGCGCCGCGTGCCGTGTCAGGGGTGAGGCTGCATCACGCGCTGTGTCGGGGTGAGGTCACATCACGCGCTGCGTCGAGGGTGAGGCCGCACTGCGCGCTGTGCTGGAGTGAGGCCGCAAACGACGCTTCGCTGCGCTGTGAGACGTCACGTGTCGCCGGCCGTCGTCGGCGCCGCCGTCTTCCTCCTCGCCTTCTCTGCCGGCCGGTCGATCGGCGACGGCCGTCCGTCCCCCCAGCTGGCGGCCGTCTCCAGCCAGGGCGGCGGGCCGCGGTCAGCCCGCACTCAGCCCGCTGCTCGTCCCCAGCCACCGGACCCCGCCGCGCCGTCGTTCGCGGCGAGCGCGGCGGCCCGGCCCGGCCCGGCCTGGCCCCGCCGGCGGCCGGGCCTGGCCGCGGGCGGGGCGGGCGTGCCCCGCGTCTATTGATCTGGCGCGTGTGCCGGCCGGCCGGCGCCCCGCGGCGCGCGGCGGCGCGTGACGTCAGCCGGCCGCCGGTCGCCAGGTGCCCCCGGGGAGTCCAGGCCAGCGGAGCCGGCCGCCGCCGCCGCAGCCCTGCTTGGTAACCCGGCCCGTGCCGTGTAGCTGTCGGCTGCCCGCGCCGCTTCTGGCCGCTGCAGCACGACGACAGCATTCGCCCGCGTGTTAGGGGGGACGAGTGACAACGATTACGACGAGGTGTGTTGGGCATGAGATGTGATGTGCGCCCACTGTGGAGCCCGAACGGTAATGGTATCATCAAGAGTGTGTGAAAGGATGTCTTGTGATCTGCGGGGGCGCGATGTATAGGGTAAATCAATATATCCCACTTGATCAATTATGGTGTAAATGACTGACGGAGTCCTGGCTTGTTTATGTTAGGTGCATGGCGACCCATCGGGTGTTGGCCAGTTGTCAATGATGAGCTCCGAGACTGTGCTCTTGCGAGCCTCATGGCTTCGCGTTGTCAGCTGACTCTTCGGAGCCGGCTGGAAGGGGCTGTTGTCTGAGTTGTTAGAGCAGAGCCGTCGGACGCTGTGGCCACCACGGTATGTGTTCGATCTGTCGGCCGACCGGCCGGTGCTGGCAGCCGCTGCAAACATCTCGCGGCCGGTCCGCCTCTGGCGCCGCTCCTACGCCCGTGTGGCGTCACACCGGCGCGGTGCGCGTGTGTGACGTCACACGGACGGCGCGGCGGCGGCGGCCAGCGGCCGGCAGGGCCGACGCGTGTGTGACGTCATGCCGGCGACGTCATCAGTTCGCCGGCCGAGAGCGATCGGTATAATTTGGCCCGATCAATGGAGCGTGCGTAAGATGGCCGCGGGCGGTACCGTGCGCTGCGCTGCTGTGTACCGTGTGCTGAGACGCCACGCTAGTGCCGGCCGCGTGCCCGGGCGCCGGCGTCGGCCAGCCGCGCACCGGGACACCGCGTTGGTGTCAGCCCCGTGCCCGGGCGCCTGCGATCAGCCGGCCGGGGTCGTGACCTGGGTTACGCGGCTTCATGGACTCTGACGCTCCGACGACTGCGAAGTAGGCGAAACCACTCTTTCAGATTCAAGATGACCGTTGCATTAAAAAGTAGAGTTCTTGCGGAGGTGTGAACAGCGGGATGTTCCGTTCCGAAGGTTCAAAGTCCGTTGAAATGAGTGAATGAATATTCTTTCGAAGTGAAAATGTCTGACAGGTTCTTAAATGTAAATACTGCATATCTACCAGCCCACATGCCTAGCAATAACGTAATGGGGCCGTCAGCCTGGGTGTGGTTATGACGTCAGAGGCTGTATGCCTCGAGCCCCGTTTCCTAATTCATGAAAAGAATGGGCCCAGATGTCGTGGCCCATTAGCTAGTCTTTACGAGCGAGGCCTCACACCGAGCGAGTCTTGACGTCAAATAGCCGGGAGTGTTGCAGCTTCAGCGGCCCCGCCAGTCAGTGTTGGCGGGCCGCTGGTCCGCCGGTCACACTCGCATGAGGCTTTCAACAACAGGTGATGCGATGCCTTATGAGTTGTGCTGTAACCTATTGCATGCGGTTGAGTGTAAGCTGTTCGGGCCGGCGGCTTATTTTTGCCTTATCACGATGCCGCCACTGATTCGCCCCTCCATTTTCCGTGTGATCAAGTTGGAATGGGTAACTGCGAATACAAAATTGAGGAACGTGGACGTGAAACAAGTCTGTATCGCGACCAGCGGGCCTTACAACTACATGGGACTTATCATTGTCGACGAGGGAAGAAGCCAACGTCTTCGGGCAAATGCCTTGGATCCACCCGTTTCTGGACGTTTTTAAGGATTGATGTCAGATTTCCACAACCAGAGTTAGATATTGGCAATCAACTGTACAGTGTAACGAGTGTACCGTGTGCAAGTCGTTGGCGATATCAACGCTGCCAGACCCTTCGGTACTTCAGCAGTGGTCCCGGAAGAGGACAAAAGCCATGTCTTCTGACGTCGACGTCAAATGCAGCACGCCTTGACCCAGGCTGAGACGCATCGGGTCCGGGGACACGGGTCGGATCCCGGCTGAGACGGATCTGGTCCGGACTTTGATGGATCTGGTCCGGACTGAGACGGATCTAGTCCGGACTGAGATGGATCTAGTCCGGACTGAGACAGATCCGTTTCGGGCTTAGACGGATCGAGTGCCGCAAGTCGTGCGAACGTTTAGTTTGGTACATTGTGACCAATATTCATCCAAAATATTGGCGTGTTGCCCAACTCTCGCCAGCCAGCAAAGACCTAAGCTTTTGAAGAGTAATCCACTAGGTGGATGAAGGCTGGCAGGCATTCGCAGGCTCAAAACCAGGCAGTATTCCAGCGACAGCACGTGTGAAGCTGTGCGCGGGCGCATGGCACGAAGTGGGCGAAGTGACGAAGTGGGCGCAAAATGACCTTAGTATTTGGCACGCCCTGAAACAACCAAGACACGTGTGACGCTGCGCGCGGGCGCCGACTTCAGCACAGCTCCGTCTGCTAAGCTCAAGAAAGGAGGTACACTCCTCCGAAGGTGGCTGACGCCACTTGTCTATGCTTACGTATCATCTGCATCGGGATAGCCGACACGTCTGTTGCCAACTTGTTCTTTCGATGGCACAACAGGCGTCTTACTGGGGGCGGCGCAGTCTGCGAATCGATGCCAGCTCGTGATTTTGAGCTTATTGTACACGGTCGTTGCTTTCACCGAAGCGCGGACGCGTCCTGGCTGTGAGTTGCTAGCCGCATCGTGCTTCGTAAAACCGATGAAAGGCATTCGCTGTAACGATCGTAACTCCGCCGACGCTCCCTGTTCTCGTTGCAACTCCAGCTGAGTTGGAATGGCTCTGTGTTTGCACAAGATATCCGCGACAGCTCTCACAAGTTCAGCTAATGCTAGACTATGCGTTGGAATGACTTGCTCACTTGTCAGCGCTCCCATGTGCCGCCGTGCTTCCGTATGCCACCCTGTTTCTTGTGCGCCGCTCTGTTTTTGCGTGCGCCGTCCTGTCTGGTGTGTCCCTTGTACCTGTACGTCCGTCTGTACTTGTGCGCCTATCTGTACCTTTGCGCCTCTCTATACCGTTGCGCCTCTGTACCTTTGCGCCTCACTGTACTTGTTCGTCTTTCTGTGCTGGTGCGCCTGTCTGTACCTGTGCGCCTTTCTGTGCCGGTGCGGCTCTCTGTGCCGGTGTGCCTATCTGCACCAGTACGCGTCTGTGTTTCCCGTCCGTCTCCGGTCCTGTGCGTCGCTGCTTCCCTGCGCCGCTCTCCTCCCGCACGCTGTGTCCTGTTTCCTGTGCGCGGCCGTGTTGCCGCGCACGCCGCTCTGTTCCGCTGCGCCGCCGGGGGCCTGTTTAGACGACGGCCGTCCGGGCGGCGGGCGGTGGCCTCTCGTCACGGGTAACACGGCCCGAAATATCGCCGCCGCCGCCGCCGTATCCAGCCGGACCCGGTCGGCCGCACCCGCCGGGCCGCCCCTCCCTCCCTCGTCCCGGGCGGCGCCGAAGGCCGCGCCACGTCGCCACCTACGTGGCGATGTCAGCTGCCGGGAGACGCCGCGTCGGCGCCGTCGCGAGCTCGAGGCGGGGGAGACTGGGAGCTGGATGTGGCGCGGTCGTGTGCGGTTGGCTGCGCCTGCAGGAGGCCGGCGTGACGCCCGGGGTGGGCCGCGTGGCGGTGGTCGCCGGCGGGGTACGCATCTCGCAGCTGTGGCCTGGAAATGGTCGGGATAGCGCGGAGAGGCGGCTTCAGTTCGGCACTCGGTCGGCCATTGATAGCCGGCGGGGGCTGTGACAAGGACACGGCCGGCTCAGGCCACGGCTGGTCGCTTACCGGACGTTGGGTCATCCGCTTTCCTACATTGGTCTGGTGCCACATGATTCTCCCATATCGCTTCGCGTGGTGAGGCGATTGCATGTGTACGTGATTGGCTGGCCACGTACCGAGACTCCGCCTAGGACTTGACGCGCCTGTCGTTTCTGATGGGATTCGCTCTGTTTTTTCTTCTCTTCTTGTGCGCATTGGACGCGACGGCTCTTTGCATACTTGCGGGGCGCGTCAGGCGACGACACTGTATCGGCGTTTGCTGAGAGCCTTTCTCTGGCCGCCGTGGTGAGCGGTGCTTGTGCCGTGGGTCGGTCATGTGGCACGGTCTCGCGTGCCGCGTGTGCCGCGTGTTGGCCTGCGACCGGCAGGTGACCGGAGCGGCGTGCTGTGGTCCTGCCCGGCCGGCCATCAGCCTGAGGTATCTGTGCGTACTGACGTCCTGTCACCTGTGCCTGGTCTGCCGTCTTGGAGTGACCTTTGTCCACCGCCGTGAACTACGTGACCGCCGTCTCTGTCAGCGTCATTGAGCGGCTCATGCCCACGTCTTCGGGTGATCTTTGTCCGCCGCGGCGGGCTAAAAGAGACCTGTCTCTTTCAGTGTCGTCGGGAGGCCTATGTCCGTTCTGCCATTTTAAGGTGACCTTTGCCGGCTGTGGCGAACTATGTGACCTCTGTCTGGTCCGACGTCGTTGGGTGACCATAGTCTGTTCTGTTATCGCCACGTGGCGTCGGCATCTCGCAGTGCCGGTTTGTGAGCCCCTGGTCTCTGACCTGCTCTGATCGCCTGAGACCAGACACTGTGTCGCTCGCTGACTCCCCTCCCCCCTCCCCGTGTGTCGCAGGATGCCCGGAAAGCTGCGTGCGACACGACCCTGGTGCAGGCCACGGCCAGCATGGAGCAGATCGGCCGGATACAGATGCGCAACCGACGCACACTGCGCGGTCACCTGGCCAAGATATACGCCATGCACTGGGGCTGCGACTCGCGGTACGTGACGTGCCGACGCGGCAGGCGCCGCCCACCGCGGAAGCCGTGCGGGCAGACGCCGGCGATGTGTCCCGCGCTCGTTCGAATCTCCCGCTGAGGGTTATGGCACAGAGGGGGCAGGTGAGCGTACTCCGGGGTGTTGGAGCTCCCCGCGCACGTGTGCACCTTCAGGCTTGGTGACGGGGACGGCGGCCGGGGGTTGGCCGCGCCGTTCTCTCCGGCGAGGAGAGGCCGGTGTTGGGCCGCCGCCTCGTACGCCCCGGATCGCCGCCGCCGGTGACGCTCGCGGCGCCGTTGTGTCAGGTAGGTGCCGCGGCCAAAGCCACACCGTGCGGGCGGCAGGCGACACGACGCGGCGGTGCCGCGACCGCGGCCAGGCTGGGCCGGGCCGCCCAGGTACCGCCCGGCCAGGAATAGCGGACCCTGTCTCCGGGCTAGGTCGGCATCGACCCCGCGCGGCCTGTTCCCATGGCCGGTCGGCGGGCGGCCGGCCGGCCGGCGGGCCGGCGGCTGCGCTGGTCGATAGTCTGGAGGCGGGCCTCTGCCGCCGTCGCCGCCGCCGGGCGCCCACTCGCGCCGCGCCGTAGCCGGCCGCGCGCCCGACGAGGGTGCGGGGTGTTGGCGGCGCCCCTGGGGCAGCCCGAGGCGGCGGCCGCCTCCCGCTGCTGACTCACGACCGGCCGCCGATGGGGCGCGCCCGTTGCCAGGCAACGAACCGCGACGGTGCCGTGAGCGTGCGATGCGCTCGGAGAGTTCGCCGGGCCGACAGCCCTGGACCACCGCCGTGGTGGGCAGTATGCACAGCGGGGTTCGGAGCGGAAAATTGGAACTTAGTAAGTCACTTCATCGTTGATCAAGTTTTCCGGTTTTTTGAAAATTTCTGACCAGCTTGTGTCATCACTGGTGTCACAAGTTTATCAAATAGGGCGTGTTCGGTGGCTAGCGGCGCTCGACGTGATCACCACTATGTGAATGGCATGTATGCGTGGGACCCAAGTCGTTGCATGGAGGCTTTGTTTATCCACCGTTCGCAGAGAAGCGGGGGACGTCATGGGGTGGCTGGCATTGAAGGGCGGTCTGGCGATAGCCCGGCCGTCCGCCAGCTTCACCAGCCGCTGTGGCGGCCGGGGCGGTGGGCGGTCCCCCCTCAGGAGCTGCGCGGCTGCTCCATTGCCTCCTAAGAGACTGGCGGGGTGTGTGAGGGCTGCGGCGCCTCCTTGGAGATTTGTTGGGTTTGATCTCCTTTGTGCCGGGCGGTGCTCGCCTTCCGGTGCTGAGTTGCCGGTGGGCCGAGACAGTGTCACCATGCGCACTTCAGCCACAAAAGCCCGAACTGGTCAGGCAAGAACACTAACATCAGCGACCGGGTCCTCCTCCGTGACGTGCGGCGGCGGCGGCCGTGTTTCGCCCGGTCTCCGCGAGGTGGCGGACTGTCTGCGCCTGATCTGGACACTTAGCGCGTGAAGCATCGCCGGCTCTGGCCGTGACGGAGTCGTGACAGATTTGTGACGGTCGCCGTGACGGAGTCGTGACAGATTTGTGACGGTCGCCGTGACGGAGCCGTGACAGATTTGTGACGGTCACCGTGACGGAGCCGTGACAGATTTGTGACGGTCGCCGTGACGGAGCCGTCACGATCGTCGTGACGGAGTCGTGACAGATTTGTGACGGTCGCCGTGACGGAGCCGTATCGGCGCACCGCACCACAGCGTGACGCCCCGGCCTCGTCCGCAGGAACCTGGTGTCAGCATCGCAGGATGGCAAGCTGATCGTGTGGGACAGCTACTCCACCAACAAGGTGCATGCCATCCCGCTGCGCTCCTCCTGGGTCATGACCTGCGCTTATGCGCCCTCGGGCAACTTCGTGGCCTGCGGTGGCCTCGACAACATCTGCTCGATATACAGGTGGGTGAAAGCGGCCCGGTTTAATCCCAAGTGGACATGTTGGCCGTTGGGGAAGCGCACTGCGTCTTTGCAACTGCCAGTATTCTCCTGTGAAATGCAGTGGCAAAGCCAGCCAAACAAACACGTAATGACAGCAGGAAAAGTGATATTAAGCGGCCGTACTAGCTGATATAGACAAATGGCACGATTGGTGGAATATAGGTACATTGACATTGGCAGTGCGTTTAATCTCCCGCTCTCTCTTTCTCAAAAGGGAGCGAGTGAGTGTGGGGATTATAAGCTTTGCTGACGTCTTAAACAAATCGGGACACTTCAGCGAAAGGTGTGTGTTGGTTGTTTGCCACAGGTGCCAGTTCAAAACAGTTGTGCGTCATGTTTTCTGGAGTGATAAATGTTCTCTCAAAAAGGAACCATGCGAGCAGAACTGGAATATGCTTGGGGCACGATGGTTGGTGGATGTGAAGGGAGTGAAATTTAGCACACACACACACACACCCTCCCTCCTGTTAAATTGTCAAAGTAGGCGCCCTCCGTGTCTTCCTCACAGCAAGCACTTCCTCGGCGTGTCAGTTTACCGGAGAGGAGGTGGGCCAGAAGCAACCGGCCACTGCGTCCGATTTAGATGCGCACGTGTTTCCATCTCGCGGCTGACGGTCTGATGCTCATCACCGTAAAATGGCACCATGCCAAGAATGGACACCTGCCGCCGTGGTTATATAAAGCCGCCGGAAATTACGCCGTGAATTCGCAAAGAAACGAGAATACTGACCGGCAGCTGGCTTACTGGCAGCAGTACACTGTCGTGGCAAAAGGTGCCGGGATGATCTAAAAAAATAACGCTAACTTCTGCCGAATGCCGCTGCGAGCAGATTTGGCGATTTCTTGTTTCACCTCCAGGTTACCATGCGTACTCTTTCCCTTGCGACTGTATGTAGGTGTCAGAACATGGAGGGACGAGTTTTCGCTTCAGCGTGTTCTAGCTGGCAAGAAGCGCGACGGAGTGCCAATCCATGATCCGGTTGGGTCTGTGGTTGTGGCCGTATTTGTGAGACCAGTCAGCTGGGCGCGGTTTGTGCGGCCGCGTGACGGCCCTCTGACGTCACGGACGGCTTGCCGACGTTCAGGCACAGCGAACCTCGTACGGCGTCCCGGCCCCAGCGCCCCGCCCCCCAGCGCCCCAGCACCCCAGTATCCCAGCATCCCAGCACCCCAGCACCCCAGCACCCCAGCATCCCAACGTCCCAGCACCCTAGCACCCCAGCATCCCAGCATCCCAGCATCCCAGCACCCCAGCACTCCAGCGCCCGGGGCGGGTCAGCTGTGAGGTCGACTATCGTCCGCCGGCAGCGTGCGTTGGCCGCGCTGAGCGGCCCGTCTGTCACAGCCGTCGTCACCGGACCGTGGGCGGGCGGCCATGACCGGCTAGTGCCGCCCTGGCCTGACCCGTGCCCTGTGCCACCCTGGCCTGACGCGTACCCTGTGCCACCCTGGCCTGACGCGTGCCCTGTGCCACCTGGCCTGACGCGTACCCTGTTCCATCCTGGCCTGACCCGCGCCCTGTGCCACCCTGGCCTGACCCGTGCCCTGTGCCACCCTGGCCTGACCCGTGCCCTGTGCCGCTTTGTTTCAGCCTGAAGACGCGCGAGGGCAGCGTACGCGTCAGCCGAGAGCTGCCCGGCCACACGGGCTACCTCAGCTGCTGCCGCTTCGTCGACGACAACCAGATCGTGACCAGCTCCGGTGACATGACCTGGTATGGGCCACGGCGCCACGACGGCTGCCCGCTCGCCCGTCTCTGCGCCGGCGCAGGGTGGTGCCGGGTGACGTCCGCCGCAGTGTCTGGTTCTCAGGCGTGCCTGCTAGTGCCCTCCATTTTGAATTGGGTGTTCCGATTTTAGTTGGGAGTTCTTGTTCTGAAAGTAGTCAACCTTCAGTACACCAGGGGGTGCGGGTTAAAAGACGTTATCGAGGAAACATTGGCTATTTTTAGCTAACTCGGCGTCTCGAGCTGCACTCGTGGTCACGGGTCGGTCACGTCGCGTGACCGTGACAGGTTCACAACGTGATAAGTATCGAATTACGAATTATGGTCGCGTGATTAGTTGCGATAAGCACTGCTTGGAGCGTCCAGTTTCTCAATATACCCAATGGCTGCTTTATAACGTGCTTAACCAGTGCCTCCTGGTATCCTGAAAGCCGGTTATTGTCAGAATCATAGCTTCCAACTCGCAATGCGGAAAAACCAGGGCCCCGAGGAATTCCTTCGCATATCAAGTATTCATTTTCCTCTTGATTTCCGTGTTGGCAATGCGGGGGCTGCAATCTGCTGCTGCGACCAAGTGCGATTGTTTTGACCTTCTGACGTCACTCCGCCGCGAGCGACTGCTTGCGAGCCACGGCGGCCTTGGCAGTGGCTCCCGAACAAACCGCTGCTGCCTAGTGTTCCTCTGGATCCTGGATCCAATCCTCGAATCCAGCCGCGCCCCCGTCTACTGGTTGTTGTGCCGCCACGTGCGCGCCTGCCGCGCTGGCGTGCGGGCCGGCCGGCCGGTGCGCGGTCCATTGCGGCGTGAACCGCTGGTGACTGGCCGTGCCGCCGCTGACGCCGCCCCGACCGTTTCAGCGCCCTCTGGGACATCGAGACGGGCCAGCAGTGCATGGCGTTCACCGGCCACACGGGCGACGTGATGTCGCTCTCGCTGGCGCCCGACATGCGCACGTTTGTGTCCGGCGCCTGCGACGCCTCGGCCAAGGTACGGCCGCTGTGCCGCTTGGCCGCTGTGCGGCGTGGGGAGGCGACAGGACTGAGCTGCGGCGGCCGTGAGCAGACACGGCCGCTGGAAGACTGGTGCGTGTGTTGGTGAGGCGGGCGGGTGAAGCCGTGGGGACGGGTCGGCTGGTCTGTGCCGCGGGTCGCTGGGACGCGGGGCCTGTGCCGGGCCCGGGCGCCTGTGAGCTGGGCGACGGCCGCGGCCCGTGCCGCCGTGTGTCTGACGGGCGGACGCCCCTGTTGCAGCTGTGGGACGTGCGGGAGGGCGTGTGTCGCCAGACCTTCTCCGGACACGAGTCTGACATCAACGCCATCGGGGTGAGTGGCGTTCGCCCTCGGACGGCCGGCGCCGCCCGGCCGAGCTGGCGCCGCGTCGTCTGATGTCTGATGTATTCCACTTTGCTCTCGTTTGTCTGCATTGGATTGAGCTGCCCGTTGGCGTACATCCGTGCCATTTCCGTGTCCTACCAGTCCTTCGTGGACTATACTCACGTCCGATTATGTGCAGGCGTTTGTTTGCGACCGGGGCGTTGCCCGAACCCGGCTTTATGCATCCGCGCTGCGCATGGCAACCGTGGTGCTGACATCTTGCCACTGCTGGCTCCTGCGTGGCCCGGTGCCGCCGCCACCCCTCTCGTGAGCGCCTGACCTGTACCAGCCCGCCCCGCCTCCCGCGGGCCGAGGCGGCCTGCTCTGACACGTGCCCGCGCGCGCGCGGCGTCAGTTCTTCCCCAGCGGGCACGCGTTCGCCACGGGCTCCGACGACGCCACGTGCCGGCTGTTCGACATTCGCGCCGACCAGGAGCTGGCCATGTACTCGCACGACAACATTATCTGCGGCATCACCAGCGTCGCCTTCAGCAAGTCGGGCCGCCTCCTGCTGGCCGGCTACGACGACTTCAACTGCAACGTCTGGGACGCCATGCGCACGGAGAGGGCCGGTGGGTGTCCGGGGAGGGAGACGCCGCAGGACAGAGCGACACCGGCGGGGGGCTCGGGGCCGCGGCGGCGTGGCGAGGTGACCTGTGGTGGGCGGGCCACGGCCATGGCGCCGGGAGGGCGGTCAGGCCTGCAGCCAACTGGACGTCATGTAGAGAGTGGGAGGGAGGAGGGAGTCGGGAGGGGTGGCCGTTGCGTGAGAGGAGTGGTGTTTGTGAGGTGGGCAGGATCCCCACGAGCGCCGTCGATGCGCCTGGCAAGGGTGGGGTCGTCGCCCATGGGCAGTGAGTGGTGGTGGAAGGTGATGCGCGTCAAGGGTTTGGGGCCAGGTGAGGTGGGACGGCCCGACATGCATGCACTTGAACAGAAGGGAAGGGGGGGGGGATTGCCAATATAAGGATGTGGTGAGGGACAGGTGAGCGAGCGCCTTCGATCAGGGCCTCTGTGACAGGAGAGGAGCGGCAGGACTCCGGACGGCAGTGACGATCATATGGTTTCAAAGGATCTTCAAATCATGTCCTCTCGTGCCCCAAACTGCCCCCCTCCCCCCCCCGTGTGTCAAAGTCCGCTGACCTCCGGAATTCCATCCATCCTTTGAAGAGGCTTGTTGCATTGGAGATTGAGATCTGTAAGATCAACCAACGGTTTTTTCAGCAATTCATTATCTGACGATGAGGATTGAGCCATTGCAGTATGGAGGTTTGAAAGCACTGTGCATCCTGACTTTGATGCTCCTTGAATGTAAATCGTGAACTTGCCTGACTGTCTTCGATGTGAAGAACTAACCCCGCAGGTGATAATTTGTGGATACTTCCAAAGCATCGCTGCTTTAGCCTAGCAGATCAGTTCAGTGAGCCCAGTGCCCGCTCAGCCGCGCCCTGCCGTGCCCGCAGGCGTGCTGGCGGGCCACGACAATCGCGTCAGCTGTCTGGGCGTGACCGAGGACGGCATGGCCGTCTGCACCGGCTCTTGGGACAGCTTCCTCAAAATCTGGAACTAGCGGCGTGTGCGCCCGAGCCGGGCCGCCCGCACGCGGACCGGCGCCGCGCGCCGCAGCGATGACGCGGCGGCTCGCGCGTCGAGCGCGCCGCCGCCGCCGCGCCGCGCCGCGCGCGCGCCTGCGGCCGCCGCCGGTCGCGCTCGGCGGCGCCGAGCGTTACGTGCGTCAGTATCGTTTTATTTTGGCTTTTATCTGGGAGACGTGCTGGCGGCGGCGGCGGTGCGCGAGCCGGGTCGCTGGCGCCGCGCCGCCCGCGCCGGCCCGACCGCCCGCCGCCCCGCCGCCTTGGTGTAGACTCTTGTGTTAAACGGCAAAATAATCATCATGTGATTTGCTGTGAGGCGTCGGTTATTTATGATGTCCAGTTTTACAGGTGTATGTCGGAGCGGTGGCGTCGGGCGCCGGACTTCCGCGCCGCTCCGCCGCCGGCGGCCCCGCCGGTCGCCCCACTCGGAGGCCGGCAGCACGGCCGCACAACACCACACTCCAGGGCTCAGGGCCGTGCTGCTGTCAGCCGACTGGGCGCGGCCGGCGCCGGGGGCCGCCGGCGCCGCCGAGCGCCGGGCCGCGCCGGCCGCGCCCGGCCGCCGCCGCCCGCGCGCCGCGCCGCCCCCGTCTGTCCCTTCGGGCGGCGCCGGACGGCGGGCGCGCGGCGGCCGGGCGCGGCCCACACCGTCCGGGGTCGAGCCGACGCGCCGCCGCCGCCGCTCGCCCCGCGCGCGCGCCGTATGTTCATGTCCGTGTTTCTTATACCGAGTACAGTTAGTAGTGCCGCGCGTCCGGCGGCCGGCGCTCGGCCGGCGCGCAGATAGCTTTTCTAGGGGGCCGGCGGGCCCGCAGGACACGCGCCGCTCGCCGGCACGCCGCGAGACACGCGCCGGCACTCGGTTCCAACTCGGCCTATGTTCCTTTGACGAAATTTTTACGCTATAGCTTCTATATCGTTCGTGGATTTTGTCATGCAAGGAACCATCCGATTTGTCCAATAAAATACTTGTCTTTACGTGACTGTACTCTGGGAGGATCAGATGAGAGTCGTGGTGGTGTTGGTATAATTTTGGAGTGATGCTGCAGCTCAGCGCGGTGCCAGAACTCGTGCCACATGCCGACATGCGATCAGCACAACCCTCTGACCTCAAGGACGAGGGTTTAAGCCAGGCGCCAGGGCAGGAAGTACCGGCCAGTTTTCCAATGGTCACGCATTCCCCGTAGCTTTAGCATTCGTAAATGACGAAGGAAGCTTTTTGAGGGATTTTAACTGCGATCACCTGAGGCAAAAGCAAGCCCTCCTGTTTTCAGAATAACTTCCCAGCTGAGCCTTGATGGTTTTCTGGGGAAAAGGGGAGTTGGTTTTGGTCGGGTCTTAGTTGTGACGCAATCTGTGAAAGCCTGAATGGCAATTTTGGCCTCAAGACGTCACAATTCGCAGTCACAATCCTATTTGGACGACTTTGGTGCAATTCGTCGACTGATAACCCGTCCTTCATTCACCTCACAAGGTCACGCCAGGTCACCGTCAGGGTCATCATAGAAGCTACGCGAGGAAAGCAAAGCTTGAACACATTAAATATGTTTTTTACTGCCCCTCTGCGATGAATAAAGGAAGAAAAGACTGGTAAATGATAAACCAATGGCACCGTGAAACGTAAACACGACTGGCAAAAAAAAATGATGCCGCTCGGGATCGACATGACCGCGGCTTGAGCTATGTGAATATCCTTAAGTGGGGCCCAAGAGGATGGTCTCATTTGGTACCGGTTTCAAACGAGTACGGAGCCAGTAGCACGGACGCTGGGGTTATTCGGATATTGTCTTTTAGCGTCAACTCACCGTCACCACACCGTAACGTTAACGATGTTGTCTCATGGCTGGTGAGATTGAATAGGGATATTGATTGCTGTGTGCACTTTTCCTATCCTGTCGTGCGATCCGTAACTACGAGGGAGCACGTTAAGCCCCAGGCGGTCTCAGATAAATTTCAAAATGTCCCGGGTGTGAACTGGTCCCGGGTCAAACAGAGCAACCTGGCGTGGGGAACTCCAGAACTGAACGCCAGGCAGTTCCGGGGGTGTTCAGAGGCAGAGGCGAGCCCCGTCCGTAATGTACGGGTCGTGCCGGTGATGAGCGCGTGGTGCACGAATGACGGTCGACGAATGCTGCTTCTGTTCGGAACTGTGTGCAGACACGCGACGTATATGAATGTTCAGCTTATGTTCATTGATGGAATAACACTGGCCGAGCTCTCAGAACTAGCGAAAGTGACCTGGAACAATCACGTCGCAGATGTCTTACACGCCGGCCTCGCACGCCTCGCTATCTTACACCCCGGCCTCGCACGCCTCGCTTACTCAACGGCTGAGGCCATTAGTTGAGCAGAAGTCCCCAGCATTCCTCCCCGAAGCCTCTAAACGAGGAGTAAATGTCTGAGAGGACAGTTTGACTAACCACAATGATAAGCTTGAAATGCCAGCTCCTCCAGGATGGGCTTTCCGTTTGGGCCACGGGGTGAGTTCTTTGACTCCGGACTTGAGCTGATCCCTCCAAGCTTCTTGGCCTGTTTCAGTCTTATTTACAGGCGTCTTCGAAAGCCCTTCTGCTTGACGCGCTGTTCCACCTACTAACTTATTCCCGCGGGGCATCATCAAGCATACCCTCAGACATCAAAATCAATTTCCCCAAGGTCATCGCGAGGCTCTGCTTGCCGTGAGTCGCTCAAAGTATGTGTAGCACGCATACGTTAAGGTGGCATATGTTGAGGCGGAATTGCGGGAAGAAGAATCGCACGTCACTGCTGTGGTGCGTATGTGGCGCTCGCTTTGGTGAATCCTTGACGACTCCCGTTCTCTAAAGACGTCGCGTTGCTCCGCGGATCCCCTCCAGCATCGCCCGACTGTGGATTGGGATGGGGTGGTGAGTGGGAAATGTATTTGGAAAATGACCTTAGTCATTTGACCTGTCTCTCTCGAATGTGATGGTGTTTTAAAACGTTAGTTCATCTCCATCCATGAGCTATTGGACGAATCGCTTGAAGAAAGAAACGCGGAGGAAAGCTGTGAAGTCACTCACAGACAAAACACCTCACTGAGGTGTTTTGTCGTGAATTCTCGCCTAGTTTAAGTGCTTAAGTGCTTTACTGCAGCCTTTGACATCGTAAAACTCAATTGGGCTTAAAATTTGGTGCATGGGCATGATCAAATGCATTTGCATTATCATCTGTTATGTGGTATGTCTGTTGGATACCCATAGCAGTGAATGCCCTCTGCCATATCATATTTCACTCAGAATAGAAGTGCTGGGACCTGTGGCTGTGCTCCTGGCAACAATGTAGCAAATTGAAACTCCATCACTGTTACTTCGGTCATGGTGTACGTTGCTACCTCATGTTAAAAAAGAACATTGTACATCGATCCATCATTTTTAAGGCAGAACATAGCATAATAAATCATAAAACAGTTCTAACATCAGGTACCAGTGTATACCTACACCTATATTGAGTAAGGGGAAAAGCAGCCTGCAAGGAACTCCTAGTTTGGAGGCAATGCAATGGCACAAAATATTGACATCCCTGCCGCCGAAGTGACGGAAGATTGGAATGCTGAGGCTGTATGTTAGTACATCATTTTACTGTGCTATGTGTCATTGAATCCTATCATAGTATTTTCTTGCATCAAGGGGTAGTTATAATGTTCTTGATGCAATCATGAAATGCATTGTTCTCATGTGGGATCAGCTTGTGTAATAATATTGTTGCCATCCAAAGGCAAAAAGGCTTAAGAGCCTTTAATTAACAAAGCACTTAGGCCTTTCTGCCTTTGAAAGGCAGATTTCAGGCAGATTATCGAAGCCATTATTGGCTTGTTTGTGTTTTATTGATTTCCATACCCTTTGAATCAAATGAATTCTTGCTTGAGAATATCTCATATTCATGTAAATTCATACAAAATGAAAAATAGTCATTTTTAGAAGTTGAGTTCATTGAACCAACCTGATTTGATTGCTAACAAAGGGATTTCAAGCAGTGTATTCTGACCATGGACAAGCCTGTTGTGGGGTAAATGATCATTTGTATCATGTTGTACCATGTAACAGGTCTTTCACCATGCAGTTCAAACTTGTACACTGAATTGTGAGAATTGCCTGAAATTGATTTTGTCTAGATGAAATTATATGAATAGATGCATATACATTCTCACCTTATGTTTTTTATATTGCAGGTAATCATTTGATATGATTCTGAATCATATTGAAGATTTGATCTTCTAAATCAAGCATGGTTTGCCTAAGCCACATGATCATTTAAATGTTTCAGAGTATAAATTAATCTAAAGCCAAGTCCATATTCTGGATATTTCTTTTCAGCTATTGTCTTAATATGCCTATCTAACAATCCTTTTGTTTGATTGTGTGTGCCATTTTAAAGTACCCATGTGGTCTTTTATGATGCATACTCATACTCTTGATACTTAGTTTTGTGATTATCTGATCCTGCCCATTTGCAGGTGATTTACAGTGCACAAGGATGTGACCACCCTAGGGCACATATTGCCGAGCATCTACGCCTAGAAATTTGGTGATCCCCAGCAAACTAGGCAGTCTTCCCCAAGACCTTCAGACAAGCTGTGTCAAATCCAAAGAATCTCATCAGGATGGCTGACCAGGGTACTGTGGAGTTCAAGGAGGACAAGGACATCACCAAAGCCAGACATGACATCTTCATCCAGGAGATTGAGGGCATGGATGACTACTGGGGCTCCACCTTCCGCACCATCTACACCAAGTCAGAGCAGGACCAGTTCATGGGCGAGCTCGAGGAGCGCACCAAGGAGCACGACAAGAACATTCGAGCGCATGTGCAACTTCCACTACCAGGGCTTCATCGACTCGATCCGCGAGCTGCTGCAGGTGCGCTCGGAGGCGAGCAAGCTGAAGAACGAGGTGGCTGCTGTCAACCAGGAGCTGACGGACGCCTCGCGCCAGCTGATGAAGCACGGCGACGGGCTGGCGAAGGCGCGCCGCGTGCAATCAAACATCCACGAGGGCATCGAGGCGCTGCGTGGCTGCCTGCCCGTGCTGGAGACACACGCGCGCCTGCGCAAGCAGATGGCCGAGAAGCGCTTCTACCCGGCGCTGAAGACGCTGGAGACGCTGGAGCACACGCTGCTTCCCAAGGTGGCCGGCCACAAGTTCGCGCAGGTGATCGCGGCGCAGGTGCCGGCGGCCCGCGCCGCCATCCAGGCGGCCTCCATGTCGGACCTGAAGGACTTCCTGGAGGTGGTGCGCCGCGAGTCGCCGCGCATCGGCGAGGTGGCCATCCGGCACGCGGCCGAGCAGTACGGCCCGGAGCCGGCGGCTCCCTCGGCCGCCGCCCAGCGGCGCACGCTCCTCTTCCTCGGCGAGGACGGCCTGGCGCCGCAGCAGCTGTACGGCGAGCCGGCGCCCGGCGGCGAGGAGGACGACGACCGCGCTGCCCAGGAGCTGGTCAACTTCTCGCCCGTCTACCGCTGCCTGCACATCTTCACGGCGCTGGGCGCCAAGGAGACGTTCCGCGCTTACTACGTGAAGCAGCGCCAGAAGCAGGCCGGTTTGGCGCTGCAGGCGCCGGCCAACACGCACGAGTCGCTGGCCAGTGTGCGCGACTACCTGCACGGCATCGCCGGTTTCTTTGTGGTGGAGGACCACGTGCTGAACACGACGGCGGGCCTGGTGATGCGGGCTGACCTGGACCAGCTGTGGACGTCGGCGCTGGCGCAGGTGACGGCAGCGCTGCAGAGCCACTCGGCCTGCTGCACTGAGCCCAGCCTGCTGCTCACCTTCAAGGAGCTGATCCTGGTGTTCAGTCACACGCTGCGCAACTACGGCTTCGTCGTGCAGCCGCTGCACGAGCTGCTGCTGGAGATCCGCGACCACTACAGCGAGGTGCTGATGCAGCGCTGGGTGCAGGTGTTCCGCGACATCTTCGAGCGCGACAACTACCACCCGGTGCAGGTGGACTCGGAGCAGGAGTACGAGCAGATCACGCAGGTGTTCCCCTACGTCAGCGAGCAGCTGGAGAAGGCGCCGTTCCCGCGCCGCTTCCCCTTCTCGCTGATGGTGCCCAAGGTGTACTCGCAGGTGAAGGAGTTCATCCACTCGTGCCTGCGCTTCTCCGAGGGCCTGAACCTGAGCCAGAGCGAGCGCGACGACATGGTGCGCCGCTCCACCAACGTGCTGCTGACGCGCACGCTGTCGGGCTGCCTGACCACGCTGATCCGCACGCCGGGCCTCGGCCTGCTGCAGCTCATCCAGATCACCATCAACACCATCTACCTGGAGCAGGCCAGCGTCTTCCTGGAGGACGTCATCACCAAGCTGACTGGGTGAGGCGCGGCGGCGGCGGCGCTCCGGCCGCGAGGGCGGCGGCGGCGGCGCTCCGGCCGCGAGGGCGGCGGCGGCGGCGCTCCGGCCGCGAGGGCGGCGGCGGCGCTCCGGCCGCGGGGCGGCGGCGCCAGGCGCCGGTCAGCCGACCCGCGCCGGGGCCGAGTGTGTCCTCTGTCGGCTGGGGCGGCTAGTGTTGTGATGCTATGGCACGCTGTAGCATGTGAGAGGTCCCATTTTGAACTATTGCTGGGCGGGATGGCATCTGGATAGTGCGGAAAGACAGCGCAATCTGACATGCTACCGTGCTAGGATGTCTGTTACGTGATGTTACCTCCATGTTACCTGATAGTTAAATTTGGTTTCACTGTCTTATGTGACGCTTATCCATAGCCTATGTCCCAGTTACGGAGCCGCCGGCTCTGACATAGGAATGTCGTATACGTGTGTGCGATATGATGTGAAATGTGACGCGCGCTCCAGGTGAAGTCTGGTGCACGCGTCACCCAGCAGACCAGGGGGCAGCGCGTCCAGGCGTGCGCACCGTCTCCCTGACCGGACGGCCGTGTGCTCGCTTCCAGCTACAACCCGAAGCAGGAGGGCGGCGTACACTCGCGCCTGCTGGGCCGCTCCATGTTCAAGGACGTGCGCGCCGAGACCGAGCAGCAGATCTACATGCAGCTGCAGACCAAGATCGACGAGTTCCTCGGCCTGGCCGCCTATGACTGGCTGCTGGCCGAGTCGGACGGCACGGCCAGCGCCTACCTGGTCGACCTCATCTACTTCCTCAACTCCACCTTCACGGCCTTCACCAACCTGCCGCGCAAGGTGGCGCAGACGGCCTGCATGAGCGCGTGCCAGCACGTGGCGCGCGCGCTGTTGGCGCTGCTGCTCGGCGAGGAGGTGAAGCAGGTGTCGACCGGCGCGCTGCAGCAGCTCAACCTGGACGTCATCCAGTGCGAGCGTGAGTCGCCATCGGCGGCGGCGGCGGTGGAGCTCGGTCGGTGTGCGCGGGCGGGGTTAAGGGGCTGGGACCGGCAGCACTCGTTCGACGCCTGATTGGAGTTAGCGGCGGCTGTGCGAGTCCCGGTCCTGTCCGCGTGTCCGCCGTCAGTTCGGATGTCACACGGCGGCGTTGGATCCCGGCTGGTAAATCGCTTCGAGTTTTTGTTTATTCGGTTGTTTTTTTATCAGGTTCCTTTTTTGTTATGCGGCATCCTATGAGTCATGTATTGTACCCTCTGACCAGTGGAATGATCATCACCTGCGGTTGGTATTCATATCATGTAGCTTCTGTTGCGTCACCAACGCAATCGGTTTCCGGCGCGCTGATATAGATTCCAGCAGGCTGCAACGGGTCTGTTTCACGGAGACTTGGGGAGGCGGTAGACCTTGTGGTTCGGGACCCCAGCTGCTTCCGTCGTAAGCTCTCGGGACGAGGCCAGCCGGCCAGCTGCCGGCCGCACTCTGGCCGTGTGCGCGCTGGTGTTGACATGAGCCCATTCTGCCCTGGACTGCACTGGTATTTGTCATCCGCTGTCAGGTCTCGGCGTGGCCGGCAGTCCCGCGTTCTCACACGCCTGATCGATCCGCTGGCTCCCCTCGCACCAGCAGCCGCCGAGTGCTTGTCCGTTCCAGGTTTATGCAGTGGTCTCCCGCGTTGGCAGCGACTGTGCTGCGCTCTGTGTGCTCATTCTGATCCTGCTCGGCTTGGGTGCTGCAGTCTGGCTGCGTCGCTATCTGTCTGTAGCTTTGAGTCCGTCCCTCCTTTCTCACTTGCTGTCTAGGTGTATACCTAACCGAGAAAATCTTCTGTTAGGCTTTAAAATTTGTTTTTGTCTGTTGCGATAGTCCGTGAGCGGTCGTCGCACCCTTGCAATGTGCACTTCCAGCCTGTGCTGCCATCTCCCGAGGAGCAGCTGTACCACATGTCGCCGATCGTCGCGCCTGCTGTGATCCTCCCGTGTGGCGCTTACATTGTGGTCCCCCTGAGCGGCTCCTGCGGGCTGTGGTCCGTTTGTGGGTGCCTCCCCTCAGCGCCTCAGTGCTCAGCGCCTGACTCCCCTCAGCCCCTGACTCCTCCCATCATCTGATTCCCCTTAGCACCTGACTCCTCAGCACCTGACTCCTCAGCACCTGACTCCTCTCACCGCCTGACTCCTCTCACCACCGGACTCCTCAGCGCCTGACTCCTCTCACCATCCTGACTCCCCTCAGCACCTGACTCCCCTCAAGCGCCTGACTCCCCCCCGCCACCTGACTCCCTTAAACGCCCCCCGCCCCGCCCCCGTCAGCGGCCGCCACCCGTGGGTCACCTGACGTCGTCCTCCCGTTCCGCCGGCAGAGTTCGCCGCCTCGGAGCCGGTGGCCGGCTTCGAGGAGGGCGCCCTGCAAATGTGCTTCGCCGACCTGCGCCAGCTGCTGGACCTCGTGCTGGACTGGGACTGGGCCGCCTACTTCCAGGAGTACGGCGCGCCCGACGGCCGCTACGCTCGCGTCAGTCCGGCGCGCGCTGCCGTCGTCGTCGAGAAGCTGCGCGAGGCGGACAAGAGGAACATGTTCTCCGTGCTCAAGCGCGCGGAACGCGACCGCAAGAAGCTGCAGGAGACGGTGCTCAAACAGCTGCGCCAGCTCACCGGAAAGGAGGTGTGACGTCGCGGTGAGTGAGTGACGTCATGTCGGAGCGTTGTGACTTCACATCATTGGGCGTGACGGCGCGGAGAAGTGGTGCGTCGGGTTTGATGTGTCACAGCAATCAACGTGAAGCGTGGTCGTGCTGCAGGGACGAAGGCAGCTGATTGGCGGCGGTTCTGACGTCATGGCGGTGATTGGGTGTGACGTCACGTCTGCACGGCGATGGCAGAGTGGTCACGCGGCGGGGGCGTGTAGAACGTCGTCAAGAGTCAAGTGGCTGCTCTCGCCGCCCAGTGCAGCTATTAATGGATCGGTGCGATTGAAGACTAGATGGTGGGCGTTTGTCCTTTAAGCATCGCATTCCGAGCGGTACACCGTTGGTCATGTTTGGATTGTGTTGGGTTGATCGGAGGAGCTTGTTAAGAATTTCGCGCGTTTGTAGCAGAGCGTGACTTACCTCTATGATGCCCTCCTTCTACATATCGAGGTGATGGGACTGCCTTAGCAAGCATTGTGTTTATGAGAGTTATGTTATTTTTCTTGCCTCATGTTTATCGCACCGGAAGACGCAGATTCGTATTCGAGTGTGGTTTGGTATGCCCTGGCGTGTCTAGCCCCATTACTAGAGGTGGCGTCTTATACATTCCATGGTGCGCCCATGCCTGGCATGGAACGTAATATCAAGTGCGAATGTCCAGATCGCTGTTACGAAATACGCGGCGTGTTTGCGCTGGTTGTGCTTCCTTGTGGACAAAGTTGGAACTGCGAGTACAAGTGTTAAGTCGTCGGCCGTCCAATGGATGACGTGGGGGTATTGCGGGCAGCAAATGTGACCTTGCTACTTAGTCTTCCGTGCCAGCCTTTTTACTGGCGTTGGTAATCTGTGCCTTACAAGGTGCCTGAAGATGCTTTTTATGTGTAACTTTGCTATCCATTTTACACGGTTGTGCTGTTTTTGATCGCCGTTTGTATTTTCTGGCGATGTGAAACATTGTTCATTGTTGTACGCCTTATTCACCCTTATACCGTAGGGAAACAATACATTTACAGTACTATATTAGAGGGCCTAATGTTTTATCTGCGGAGTTCGAACTACAAAGCCAAGAGGTATTTGCTTTATCCACTTAATATCCAAGGACGCGTATGTAATACCGAATTCACTGTGGAGGCATCAGATCATCAACGACGGTCGTGTTTTCTAGAAGCAGTTTTTGCCACCCAATCTGAATTGCTAAACGTGAATTCCCTTAACGCGTGACACAGCCCCGTTCGCATCGGTCCATGTTTCCTTTTTCTTCGTTTTTATCGGCGGCCGGCAGGACAGCATAGCGTTATTTAGGTTATGTTTGGCGCTTCGCTCCCGATGTTTCAGCTGGCGCCCCTTGGCGGCACTCCCGCCCTGTCACGGCGCCGCTCCTTCCGTGCGAAAAACCGGTGGTCGACCTTGCAGGCGGCTGGCAAGAGCGACGGGCGTGTTCCGATTCTGGGCCAGTTTACAGAAATGGCCGCTGGTGACGCGTGTTAAAAACGGACAGCAGCCTTGCGCTCGATTGTTCCCCACGTGAGTCACATTGGGGCCCGATGCCATTTTCTTTGTGTCGAAGGCCTCGTGGCCTCCACGCACATCTCGATCGCTGACATGTGCCGCAATCGGTCCAAAGTTTCCACGCCAGGCGGTCCTGTATTGCGTCCGGCGGGTGAAGCCAATCAGGCCGGCTGGCGGCGGAGCTTACGAACTGCTGCACGAGAGCTGCTGCGGTCCGCAGGGCGACACGTGGCCGGCCTGGCTGCGGCGCGGCCCCCGGGGGACCGGGCTGACTCAGTCGGGTAGCGTGTGGGCGGGGTAAGAGACGCCGCGCCGCGCCGGCCGCGGCTAGAGGCCCGGCCGCGGAGGCTGCCTGACGTACCGGCCGGTAGCCGCGCGCCGCCACTGGGCCGACGGCTTGTGAAACCTCCCTGTCGGACGCGATTCGCTTCGGCCGCAGATGTCTTGGTCGACGGCCATCTGTTTGTTCGTCTGCCGTCTGCCGGCCGGCGAGGTGTCCTGCTGAGTCTTGTTGTTTGCTCGCGCCGCGGATCCAGCCCACCGTTCTCGTCCGCTCTCCGCATGTCGTCGGTCGGACAGGCAGTTTCCAAAACCGGATTGGCGCGTTTGCCCCCCCCCCCCCCCCCCCCCGATTGACTCGCTTCGATGGCGGCACATGATCCTACGGACAGCGGTGAATCTGGATCCGGAAAAACGAGGAACCGGTATCAGATCTTGACAATCATTCACAACATGCATCAGGCAATGGACAAGGGGTGCTCAAAGACGCGATAATGGCTTGTTCAGTTTAGGTCTGGATCTAAGCGAAAGGTGATCGAATGGACTTTGATTTCAGACAGTTCAAGCTTTTACTTCATACAATTGTACCATCGTTCTAGCATGGTACATATGTATAAGTAGTTCTGCCGTCCAAAGGCAAATAGGTACGGGTGCAATTTTTCCTGATGGCACTTCGCTCCTTTGCCTTTGGATGGCAGAGTTGTGCAGAATTAAATTTAGCTCAGATATGTATCTCGTATAATGACTTTTTGTCTTTGCTATCGTGTTCTAACCTGCCCCAGTTCTCACGTCACTATCTGTGACTCTCCTCAATCCATTCGCCTGCTGTCTAAAACGTCTGATTGTTTCAACAAGAAAGCATGCGGCCCACGACGAGCGAATGACCCAGTTAGCGTGAATGGCACGTTGTGAGCCGTGAGTAAGGCGCCGGCCGGCTGGGTCCTCCGGCCGGCCTGCCTTGCCTCGGCGCCGCGCCGGCCCCGTTTGCTCGGCGCCAGCCGATATGGGTCCGTTACTCAGCTGATCTGCTGCATCACTGCCGGCGCGCCACCGCATCGGGCCGGCAGAATGGCGCAGTGACGTGCGATGTTGCGCAACGGCGGCATTCCAGCGCCCGGCGCCGGGCAGCCTCTCCCGGGCCGCTCGTCCGCCAGGCTGGGCCCAAGGTCGGCACGCGCCCCAAGGTCAGGTCGGCGCGGCTACTGCCAGGGTCGCGGCTCCCACTGCTCACCCCCACGCGCGAAATTTCTGGTTTCGCGCGGTTTTCTGGTGAGTTCAACTTCTCTTTCTTCTAAACCAATCAAAATGCTTTGTCTCTATTGTCCAGAAGTTCGTGTGGCGCCCCCCACGTTTTCTGGCGGGCGAAAAAGGAACGAAACAGAAAAGGTAGCTGAATGGCCCCTTCCGACGACACAAACCAAGGTGCGTGGCCGGTATGGGACCGCCAGTCGGCACTGTCCGGCCTGTTTCCGCCGGGACGGCAGGCGCACTCGCGGGTCGGGAGTCTCTCAGCCCTCAGAACGCCCCCGCGTCCGTCAGGCCACCTCTCGGCCCTGCTCTGCGCAGAACCGAGGCATCGGAACACGCTAGTAGCCAGCGGCCTTCTGTGCGCCACCGGCTGGTCACACGCCCACAGCGCTGGTCATGAGCCGGGGAAGGAGGGGCAGCGACCTTGATGAGTGGCACCGAGGCGGGCTTTCTTTCAGCGATGGGAACATGGAGTTAACATTGTCTACCTGGCCCACTACCGAGTGCATCAACAAAATGTTTTCCTTAAAAAACATAACGTCGTGAGATGACTTCTGAATGTGAGAACGGTTTTCTCATCCGCCCTTCCCCCCCCCCCTTTCTTCCCATCGCTCCTTCGTCTGTTCCCTTTTCGACGGAGCCGGTTTGTCTGGTTTTCGGCTTCTCCGGGCTAGCCTTTAGCGTGACGTCCGGGGCTATAGCTGAGGACTTTAAGACGTGCAGGGGGGGGGGGGGGGGGAGGTGGAGCTCATCGAGCAGTCATAATAAGCAAACCGAAGGAGCCGTATATGGTGCTAAGGTAAACAAAAAATACCCGAGAGTCAGGTCCCCCTTTCCCTTCAAGCTTGTTCTCTGGTGACGTCACTCACTTATCAAGACTAGTGACGTCCGGTGAAGGATGACGTCCCTGACGCGCGGTGACCTGTTTGCACAACGTGACGGTAGTGACTGGGGGTTGTGCAACCCGTTGAACGCAAACTGCGATGACTTTCAGTAGCCATTTAAGGTGTCCATAAAAGTTAAGGTCGGCAATGCTTCATCAGCAGTATCAAGTCTGTCATCGGCACGTGTTGGATCATGTCGGCGTAGCCTGCAGGCGCCCGTAGGATCTGGGGACGAGCGGCAGGCTCCGCCGCTCTGCCGTTTGGACAGAGCTCTGCCGTCTGGACAAAGCTCTGCCGTCTGGACAGGGCTCTGCCGTCTGGACAGGGCTCTGCCATCTGGACAGGGCTCTGCCGTCTGGACAGGGCTCTGCCATCTGGACAGGGCTCTGCCATCTGGACAGGGCTCTGCCGTCTGGACAGGGCTCTGCCATCTGGACACAGCTTTGCCGTCTGGACAGGGCTCTGCCGTCTGGACAGGGCTATGCCGTCTGGACAGGGCTCTGCCACGCAATCCGCATCTGGCGGGCTCTGTCAGATGTGGGGTTGCGTGCATTATGAGAGGGCTAGACATTTTCCGAAGGGCGTGTGATACCGGTTCGGCGCGTGCGCTTGGCCTCTGTGGCGAAAGACTGGTAATGCGCGTGATTCATAAAAATACCGCCGACATTACTCAAAACGAGTTAGCGGCCTCTTGCCGTGAATTCAGCGGCAGTTCCGCGAGCGGACGCGTCACTGCACGCTTTAAGTGGGCTGACGCGGTCGGTCCACACCCTCGTCGTCTGCTTCTCACGTCACCGGACGAACAAACCAGCGTAAGCGCACGTGTTCATGTATTACGGGAATACGCCCGCGGCCTATTTCGTCCCCGCGGCGCCTGCGCGCTGCCGCATACAAAAATAAGATGTGTAAAATCTACGGACTCCTGCGCCAGCGGGGTTAGCGAGTGGAAACGGCCGCCTCACAACAGCAGCAGTCGTCTCGCAGCCGCCGGTCCGGGCGTCCGAGGCGGCGGCGGCGGCGGCGGCGGGCCGCGCGGGCCGCCCTGAGCCCCGCCGCGGCAGCCTCCTCCGGCGTCTCCGTTGAGCAGTCGTATTGCGTGGAGGGCGGCGGATCACAGACATCACAGGCGGAACCGCACACGAGTGGGGGCCGCTGGTCCCCAACAGCTCGCGCACCGCGCGCACACGCACACACATATGGCAACGGACGACCCACATGACGTACGACGCGCGCACTAACACGGGTGCGGGCACGGGCTTCCGGGCAGACTCGCCGATACACGTGCGGCGCGCCTGGAACCGAGCGACGTGAGCCACCTCTCCGCACCGAATAACAGCGCCGATAAACGTCTATCTCAGCTGTAACACTATTGTCGTGGCCCAAGAGGCCCTCCCAAAACGGTTCGAAAGGCGGTTGGCAGGACAGGGACGTGGATATGATCACACGGGCGCGGGTCGGGCGTACACAGCGACATAGCCCTGTCAGGCTGGGAGTCACGCCACCACGGCGAGCACGCACACCAAACCCGCTACACTTCACGGCCCCGCTGAGGCCAGTCAGGCGTACACAATCACTCATCACATGCTGAAAGAGTTCACGTATCAAATATGACTAAAATATGGTCGTCCGGTCGTCCCCGCGCGCCGATTGGCGCCAGCCCCGATCTCCGACGCCAGGCGGCAGCACCTGCAACAGAGGAGAGCCTGGTCAGTCGGGCGGCTCCTGACGCCCGAGCATGCGGAGGGGAGGGAGGGGGGGGGGGGGGGGGGCACGGGTGAGCGAGCACTACCTGACGGCATCAGGCCCACCGTGACACGAGGCCTCAGGAGCTCCGCTGTCGGGTGACACCGCACCCCAGACATGACTTATCTCAGACGTCATCAGCTCCACCAAAGGTTCGAGTGTGTAAAGGCAGGCAAAAACCCTCACGTAAAAAAACGGAGCCCAGTTCACTTTCAGCGTGTTGTAGCTGTCTCTTATCACCCGCCGACGCCAGCGCGCCGCGTCCGTGGCAGCCCACCGACGAGCGCGGCACGTGTGTCGGCCGCGCCCCGCCGGCCGGCGGCGAGGTCGGAGGTCAGAGCCGGTCCCCGCGCCACGCGCGCTCAGACGCCGGCCCACTTAGCATGCGGACGGCGCGCCGGCCGGCGTCGGTCCGTCGCCAGCTGGCGAAGCGGGGTGTCGCTCTGAGTCCAACGTTTGTCGCAGGCGCGCGCGCGCCCGCACCATGCGTCACGGCGACGGCGGCGCGGCCGAGCCTGAGCCACAGGTCACCAGCCGGCCCCAGGCGGACATGCGGCCGAGTGTCCAGCCAGCCCCAGGTGGACATGCGGCCGAGCGTCCCGCCGGTCCCAGCTGGACGTGCCGCCGAGTGTCCAGCTGGCACCAACTGAACATGCGGCCGAGTGTCCAACCAGCCCCAGGTGGACGTGCGGCCGAGTGTACAGCCGGTCCCAGGTGGACGTGCGGTCAAGTGCCCAGCCAGGCCCCAGGTGGACGTGCGACCGAGTGTCCATCCGGCCCCAGGTGGGCGTGCGGATGAGTGTCCAGTTAGCCTCAGCTGGTGATGAGGCCGAGTGTCCGTGCGGTGCTGGCAGGTCAGGGCCCAGGTGCAAGCTGTGTTTCGGTTTTACGCTAGTTAATTGATAGACCTTACGTGAGTAAATTGACTTAATGACCGGCTATCAGAGGGGCGACAGCTGTAATTGGCCCGTAAGGTTGTCAGTGCCTCCCATCACAGCGCTGTTTAACGCTCCCAGCTCTGTGGCGGACAGGTACTGGCCCAGGGATGCATTCGCTCGGCGTTTGGAGCCAGTCGTCGGCGGTTATTCGAGCCGTTCATTCTACTCGACAGCAAGAACCGATCACCAGCCTTTCAGGTACGGCACAGGAGGCACATAGGATGCCGACACAAAACCGGACGAACGTTCCACACGTCATTAGTGGGATCACACGCTACCGACCAGCTCCAGCCGGATATTCTGCAGGCTTCAATGCGAGGGCGAAACGGCCGTCTAATCTCGCGGATGTTGCACTAAACGGCTCCAAATGCGGAGGAAAACCCGCCGCATGCCAACTGGCGGCGTCATGGTGACTCGGTCACGCTTCTCTCCAGCTCTGTCCCTGGCCCAGGCCATCTGGGAGCCGCCCGGGCCTGGGTCAACAGTCTGGCGCGTCCCACACGTGGGCGGCGGGAGCCGGTCCTGTCCAACCCGAGCCCCGACACCTGGCCGCTCCTCAGCCTGACCACCTCAGGTCAGCGCCGCCAGCGGGACGTCACCAGCCCCAGCTGATGGAGAGCCCGCCGGTGCCCGCGAGCTGGGCTCCGGTCTGCTGGCCGCCGCGTCCGCAGCCTGTTTGTAGCGCGTCCGGCCGACGCGATCGGCCTCTCCATGAATCATTGCCAGCCGCCAGGTACGTCATGCAGATGAGGGTGTCCGTCCATGCATGTCGGCGGCGCCGGGCGGCGGCGGGCTGACCCTCCGGAATCCAATTACGAGGCACTTGCTTGCCACGGCGCCAAACACAGCGGGCGGCGGCCGCCTACCGATACGGTGCGGGCCGGTGGCGCAGCTGTCGCCAGATCGGCAGCAATGAATGGCCATTAGTGTTGGGATAGCCCGGCTGTGGAGGCGCCCTGGCGGTGACCCGTTCAAGGCCAGTCGAGCGCCGACAAAGGGCCGGCCGCGGCAGCGCCAGCCCACTCAGGCCGCCGCAGAAATGAATTCGTCGGGCGAGGCTTCGTTGAACTGTCGCTTCGATCGCGTTTCGGGAAAAGGTGAGCGGGAGAGATCAGGGCACGAGGGAGACGTTCTCTGTTCACGCGGCGGGTGGGTGGGACAAAGACGAGAGCAGCCAGCCGGCGGTCAGCGCTCCTCGCGAGGCCCGCTTTAGGGGACTGAGGAGGTCGACAGGTGCGGGGCTGCCAGCCCCCGCCCACCAAAATCAGCTGAGTCTTCCGAGGCCGTCCGTCCCGGCACGGATCTGCAGGCTAATCCGGGGCTCCCCGTCCAAAGAAGACGAGAGGCGCGCGCACACCAGGCGCCGCGCGCGCGCTTCTCCCGCGCGGTGTGTCGACAGCGGCCGGCGCGCCATTACGGGCGGCCACCTCGCGCCACGCGGGCTGCTCGGGCGGCGACCGGCCTCGCTTCAACACGACCCCGGCTATCATTAGCGGTGAAAGCCCGGCAGGACCGCGGCGGACGGCCGCCGACAAACGACGCCCGCCGCCGCCAGATACGGATCGCACGCGCCTCCGCCGCCGGCGGCGATCCCATGGCGTCACGGCTGGTGGCGCAAGCGGCGCCGCGCGCCGGGAATGCGGGCGCTCCCGTGCGGGTCGCCGTGTCAGTTGCACAAGAGCGGCGAACATCCGCCGGGTCACCGGGCCCCGCGCTGCCGACGGACCTCACACAATCACCGGCCCAGACACAATCAAAGCGATAGTAAGAGCTCGCCGGTTCGGACTACACGAGCGCGGCGATACTAATCGCGCGGCCGGAATGACACAGACAATGCCCATTATGGCCGCGGCGGCAGCGGGACCCGCTGAACTGACCCAGCGCTGTGACGTCACCGGCGACAGGACCGCCAGTGACGAGGCGCACTGATGGCCCGGCCCGGATTCAGCGCCCCGTTCAACAGGGCAACGAGGGAAAGTGTTTACCGTAAGCCCGGCAGCGGGGACGTAAGAAAGCAGTAAAGTCGAGCGTTAACGGTATCAGGGCATCTGAATGCGTGTTTACCAAAGCCGAGGGGTCATCAGGGCGCTGCTGCCGAGGATTCCACGGCTCGAGCCGCAATCCATCACAGCCCTCTCGGATCTCACACGAGACCGCCGGCAACACACACACACCAAACAAGCGTGTTCCGATTTCACTGCAGCTGACATCGTGCGCCAGAAGCCGCAGGGCGCAGGCGCGTTGGGCCGGGCTGGGCGTCCCATACGGTCCGGACGTCGCCGCCTACGCGGTCGAGACGGCCGACAGCGCGACTCTCTTCCCGTCCGCGGGGTCTGCCGAGACGGACGCGACGCGAAGTAGTCCAGGTGCCGCATAAGATGCGCTCAGCGGGGCCGGGGTCCGACCAGCCGGCCCGCCACCGACCAGGCCAGCGGCAGGCAGACGTGGCGCCGCCGGCCCGGGAGAGACTCCCGACACATGTCCGGAACGATGTCCGACGCCGGGCCCGCGGCGGTGGTATGGCTCGCGCGGCCCGCGCCGACGCCGCCGGAACGCCGGGCGAGAGCGCCGGTGACGCCGTCATGGCGGACGCCTCCGAGGCCCCACGGACGGGGTGACTGATGCCACCGGCCCGGCTGGCCGGCGGCATCAGTCACCCCTTCTGACGACCGGCCGGGAATGCCGCTCCGCCGCACTGGTCAGCCCTTCCGCTCGCCGATCGCCGAAGTTCGCGCCGCCGGCATTTCCCGTACGGCGCGGCCACGTGCGCGCCGGCCGCCGGCCGACCCCGATACCGGTCGGCAGGGCACCACCTTCCATGAACGGATGACTCGGCCTCGACCGTTGTGACGTCACGCGACCGGTAGCGCTGCTGCCGAGGACGCCCGGGCGGGGCGGAGCGGGGCGGGGCGAGTCGGCCAGAGCTGGGGTGGTAACCCAGGGCGAGGGCGAACGGAGCTGGTCCGGGGCTGGACGCGTCGCCTTGATGGTGGCTGCCTTGGAGGGGACTCGAACTAGGGCGCGTGACTCTTACGCAGACCTCGGGGTAAGACGCCGGCCCTGAGCTGTGCATGGGTGCCGACTTTAAACCCAAGGACACGGCGCTGACCTGGAGGTACCCCGGGAGAGCCGTGCACCCCTAACATAACCCCGCCGGCTCAGCAGCGCCCCAGCGACTGACGCGCACAGGTCCCATTCCGTGCCCTCCGCACGCAGCGACGAAGGCCGGCGGAAGAGGCGCGGCGCCGCCGCCGCCCGTGCCGTGACGCAGGCGTGCGCCGCGGCCGTAACAGGCCGTGACGGCGCCGTGATTAGCCCGGGCGCTGTCCGCGCGCCGCCGCAGGAGGTGGCACGCGACGCTGCCGACCGAAAGGGAAACGCGCTGGAGTGGCACGGCCGGCATCCTCGCCCACCGGCCGGACACAAACAGCCCTCGTAAACTGGCGACCGGCGCGGCCCGGTGGGACGCGCGGCGCCCAACGAGGCACGCTGCATCATGCATGGGCCGGTCCGCGCCATCCGCCATCCAGATAGCAGCGGCGGAGCGCGACGGCGACATCTGCGCCGACCATGAATGGGACAAAACACGCGCCGGCACGGCCGCGTACGCCGCCCGTCGTCCCGATCCCCCGCCCCCGGCCGACCCTGCTGGAAGCGCGCCTGCGAGCCGGCCCATCACAGGCACCGATTAGCGAAACAAAGGGCAGTCTTCGGCTCAAATATGGCCGTAATCCCGGGGCGGCGGCGGGCCGCGCCGGTCCTGCCGGCCGCCATGTAAATATTTGCGGCGGGTCGGTCGTCAAGGTCGCGGGCGGGTTACTCAGCCGTCCCGGCGGCGCCACGCCGGGCAGCCGCCGCCCGGTCACGGTGGCCCCGGGACGTATGGCGCGCCACGGGCCGGCGAGCCAGGCGCCGGCGGCGCTCACGTCAGGTGGCGAGGCACCGCAGGCTTGTCGAAGTCGATGTAGGGAGGGCAAGAGTGCAGTGAGTGTGGTGCCGGTGCGT